CTAAAAGGCCCCTTCTTCTCTGATGCTCAGCATGCACAGAAGTACAGTTTAAACACTAGCCGGTCAAACCCTGTCTAAGCTGACTTAGCCCATACTGGTTGAAAAGTGGATGTTTAACTAGTTCAGCAAATACCATTCCCAGGCAAATGTGGATAGGGCCTAAATTATCAACATTAAAATTCTAGGAAGTCTTACGAGTTCCATGTGTACTGTGGTGTCTACCAGGCAAGGGACCTGGCTACAATATTGTAGTTCTTGAGCCCCTTCTCCTGCACTCTTAAAATACGAGGGGCATAGTTCGGTGCCAGGTTTCACCATGTAAAGGCACTGCCATAGTGGACCTGGGGGTATTTTTACATTATGGGTGCTAAGGGGACACTGCCACTTTACTGCTGTAGCACCATAGTGTCGAACGCACAGGGATGAAAGGGAGTTTTCCACTGATGTGGGTAGTCTACTTCCCTGAGTGGCAGCAGCAGCTAGGTCAACGGAAGAATTCTTCTGTTGACCTAGCAGCATTACAGCAGGGACTAGGTTGGCTTAACTGTGGCACTCAGAGAGGTGGATTTTTCACACCCCCGAGTGCTGTATCTATGTCAACCTAATTTTAAAGTGTAGATCAGGCATGGGTTCCCCAGTGTGGCAGAAGTTACGATGTAGAGGAGGCCTAAGAATGATCAGTGCTTTGAGAGGGGGAAGAAAGAGAATCAAACCTGACATGGTTCTGCAATTGCTGAAAGACAGAGAACAGAAATAGGTAGAGCAATGAGGCAGTGTAGCTTGCTAAAGCCAGGTTAGACAAATCAGTTTTCCACAAAATCATAGGTCAATGCTAGCATTTAAAGCAGTACTTCAAAACAGTTGGCTTTCATTTATGATGTTCTGCCAGTGACTTTAAATCAAATTTCTTTTTCTAATTTCTTACTAAGATTAAGGAGGTGTTATTCATTCTTCTTTAAAAATCATAAGGGTATACGTGAAAAGCAGTGCATAGGATATTAGCTTTATTGTGAATCTCATGGCTAAAGATCCATGCAACATTTTGAATATTTGCTAACTAGCGTTTACTATTTTTGTTTCTTTCACCAGAGAGTGACCTTTCTAATTTGTACAGTATACTGGAAACTAGGACTTGTTTTAAGCAGTCTTTATACAACATTATCTGTACAGAAGATTATAATTTGTGTTAATAATAAAAAGTGAAGATACTATAAAAGTAACTTTTCATCAGTTTTGGGTGACTGAGGCCTGGTTTACTCTAACAAGTTTTGTTAGCATAGTTGTCAGTTGGGAGTGTGAAAAAATCCCACCCGTAACCAATTTAGCAATTCTGGCAAAAGCCTTAGTGTAGACAGTAATATCTATAAAAGTGTTTTTTCTGGTATACCTTATTCTATTTGGGGAAACTGTATAAGCTATATCAGTATAGCTTACTGGCAAACCTTTCCAAGTGTAAACAAGGCCAGAGTTAAAGGGTCCATGAAAGTGACAGAACACAGAGGTTAACACTAAACACAAGCTAACCTACAGAGATTTGTCGATGCATCACAGTACTTGACTTTAACACAATTGTTGACCTACTGCTGAGTGTCTATGCAGAGTTTGCTTTGTGCATGAACTGAATTGTGTGTGAAGGGTTTCTGTGTACTGAAGACTTAGGCCGGGTCTACCCTAGGTTATAGTCCAAGACATGATTATTATCAGACAAAACAAAACTGCATTCTAACACAATGTGACACTGCCCCGGGATAACATACTGCCATGCAACAACTTAAGCAGGTTGTGCTTCACAGCCTCTCAAAATGGAGCTGAGCATGGTTGGGTGGAGGATGGAGAAAGAAGAGGAAAGAGGGAAGTGCCTCTGGCAGAAATCCCCCTCAACTCAGAGCAGCACCAACCCATTGTGTCTTCCTTTGACCCAAATCCCACAATTCTCGGTTGCTGCAAAGGATTGTGGGACATGTGGATTGCAGGTCATTTTTTGGTCCAAGAATACAAAGGGATTGAGAACCTCCACAGCAGACCAGAGTATGGTGAAATAATGGTGTTAACACAATTTCTGGACAGAGACAGCAGTGCTGGGGGTATTGGGATAAGCTAGCTACTGTCATTTTTACCACCATGTTATCCAGCCTTCTCTGAAAAGTCTTGGACTGGCAAAAACACTGGAGGCCATGTACTGAAATCACCAGGCTAATTCAGATTTATACCCAGGAGTGCAGAGGTGAAAAAAATAACCTACTGTGCTACCTAGTTGTCCCCAGCCACCTGTGTACAGAATAGCTACAACAGGTGCATCATTAGAATAAGCAGAAATTATTTCACTATTAATTCCTTACAGAGTTATTTGTCTGTGTGGAACTGCACCCCATCCTCCTTGGCACCTGCAGAACTGCTGTAATTCCATCCTACCTGTAGCTTCAAATGCAAACTATTGTCCGGAATTGTTGGCTGGGAGTTCACCATTTAGGTGAATGAAAGGCAGCTTACAAAAGCTAGTTGTCAGGGCATATGGATCTCTAATTCAGTTTAAGAGCTAGATGCTGATACCTTTACTCATGGTGAATAGCACCTGATTCAGTGAGTGTTCCCATTGACTTCAGTGGAATACTTCTGGAGTAAGATGCTACTCAGTGTGAGTAAAGCTGTCAGACTGGCCCTATGAAAGGAGTGTATTCCCATTAACACAAGTTGCAGTAGATCCAGATGCATTGTTAGGGGGACATATTTCAGGATAGTGAGCTATTAAAATGGTATGACGTTTCTTGATTAAACTTTAGAGGTAGATGTGAGGCATGAGGACAACTCCGTTTCTCTAATCATCTGAAAAATGCAATATTTGTCCAGAAAGGCATAGCTTGAAGTGTGGTGTTCTCGTGACGTGGAATTTGCACCCTTGGCCAGAGAAAAAAGGCTGAGGCCTTATAGGTGTGAGTATGAGCTCAGACTTTGCAGCTAAGTTCCAGTTGTAAAGTCTAAAACCATTGCATGATATTGGAATACTCATGGCATTTTCCTCTTGCGCATTGAGAATCTCATAGAGGTTTTGACTTGACTCTGTCTGTCTTATTCATACTGAACAGTATCTTTCTATGAAAACAGTCTATGGGGTTTCTTGTGTAGTAAAGTGCTACTCTACAGGAATAAGTGTAGTACAATCTGGCCCCTTGATGGTTAAGGATTAGATTTTCTCTTGGGCTGCATGCCAGTTCAGGAAAGTAAAGGGAAGTAAGGCACTTCCCTTGCCTCTCCTTTACACCTTTGCTTTGGATAGGCAGCCCTTGGTTCTGGACGCACAATAACAAGTGGCCTGTGTGATCACGTACTTCCCACCCTCACAGATCAGGTGGAGGGGAAAGGATGAATCCTTGACTCTACCGCTTACTGTGCCATCCAGCACCGCTGAGGCAATGGGGAGGGGGTAAAAATCTACTGCTGGCATAAACCAGGTCTGGTATAGGCTAGCAGTTAATCACTATTTTAAGAGCCTGGAGGGAAATGTGGCTCTGTGAGCCTGATTCCTTCACTGCCATGCTTTTGGGGCACTGCAGCAATGTACCACCAGGACTCACCTTTAGAGAGGGGTCAATGTTCATAGCAAAAACAGCGTGCAATTGGAGATAAACTTTTCCAAGTGCAAAGGAAAGTTTCAGCTGATATAAAATATTCTGTTCACTGGGGGGAAACTGTTCCTTAATTATATCTATCAGAATTCTATAGAATAGTGAGGATTTAGCAGGAAGTCCAGTGGCTACTTCACAATATCAGGTTTTCAGATGTCTTCAAAATTCTTGTTCCATACTTTTAATTCAGGGCATTTCTCAGTCATGTCTCTGTCTGAAACATAGCAAAAGGGAATCCTGACCCAAGTAAGTCTGGCTCAGCAAAATTTATTTTCAGGGATAAAGAATGTAATCCTTTCGCCTTAATGTAATAAATTGGTTGATAATTTACTGACTGGAGATGCAAGGAATGGAGGGAATGACCACCACCAAAAAAAAAAGTCCTTTGAAAACCTGAATGCCATGATTTGTAAACATAGAGCAATGGTTTTCAGGGACTCTCAACAATCTGTGAGGCAGTGCAGCCTTCATAACAAAGAGAAGATGCTAACGGGGAGGGACACTGGTTTTCTTTATTGGATTACTCAGGTTGTGGAAGGTACGTTCCAGCTGTTGAATTAATGGCCCAGATGCTCCTCAAAACTGACTGTTTCAGCATGTTTATTGAGCACAGTTTGCCTCCTTCTCCCAGTGTTGTCACCTTAATCCAGTTTTAACCTGGTTTGGGGTCATCCACATAGGCAGGAGCAAAATGTTTACAACTTGGTCTATTTCACAGGTCTTGTCTACCCTGGAAACTTTAGGGACCTCTGCCATTGTTACACTCATCCTGGTGCATCTACACTGGTGCTAGCCGTGGTGTGAGCACTGGTATAGGCTGGCTGCTGTCACTGTTACAATCATGTCACCAATCGTTGCGTACCTCTGCAAGGTGATGGGGGAAGATTTTTCAATCCATCTTAAAACATGGAGTCCTGACTGTTTTTTGTACTAATTTTCAGCAAACTTGGGCCCAGTTGTGTGCTAGTTGAGCAGAGTTGTAGGTTGATATTAACACCATGAGAAACTCCATGATTTTGATTGAGTTTCAGATGAAAGTGAAAAGCTATATATGAGCTCAGCTGTATTCAGCATGGGTTAGGATCACAAGTAGTCCTTGAATCAGGGGTGCACATCTACCGTTAAGCCAAACTGAAGCAAAGGTTCACATCAACTCCTCCAAAATTGATTTGCTGAGATTCCGTCAACAGTACTTCATTGCCAAACATCTCTAGTACCTCCCATTTATCTTGCTCCATCCTAGCTCAGAGATCCGGTCTCATTCTCCTCTCCTCTGTTCCTTTCTTATCTAGAACCAGCCCTACTAACAACAGCTGAAATATCAATCAAATTATGTTTGCATTTTGATTCTTTCACATTTTTTCTCTTTCTTTGCAGTTTTCCACTTGTCCCACAAAGTCACCCGCGTGGTTCCAGAGAGCGCTCTGCTGATTGTCCTTGGCCTCCTCCTGGGCGGTATCGTGTGGGCTGCAGACCACATTGCCTCCTTCACCCTTACACCAAATGTATTTTTCTTCTACCTGCTGCCACCCATTGTCTTAGATGCTGGATACTTCATGCCAAACAAATTGTTTTTTGGAAACCTGGGTACCATCCTTCTGTATGCTGTAATCGGGACTGTATGGAATGCTGCCACAACAGGCTTGTCTCTCTATGGTGTCTACCTGAGCGGAATAATGGGTAAGCCTGATTCTCAAAAGAGTCACTGCTAATTAAAATGGGTACTGGCTGGCACATTAGTGGTGCATTATAGCTAACAACTCTTTCCCACAGAAAAACACCAAGTCTTAACTTGGACCATTTTCAGGTAAATGAAACTTCAGAGTGGACAGAGCAGGTACTTAAACTTGGGTCTCCAACTCTGCAGGAGGCACCCACCGCCCTACTTACCCGCACGCGTCCCTGGACTACAGAGCTAGGGTTTCAAGCCAAAAAACACATGTTTTGACACAATCCCGTGCTAACAAAAATATTCCAAAAGGGTTTTTTTTTGTTCCAGTGCAGAACGAATCTCAAAAGTTGCTGCAAAACAGAAAATTGTCCTCCACTCAGCTCTAGTATTAATTAAACAAGGGCCCTCTAAGTGTATTCATATAATAGGTCATTGTTCAACATTTAAAGCAAGAAACCATCCTGCTAGGGTAAGATTGAAGACCTGTAATACCAAGTGGCATTTGCAAGGGGCATTTTGCCCATGTAGTACTGATGACTGTGTAACGTCTCTGAGGTGATATGAGACGTATACATAGCAACAGCTGTTACATCTTTTTGTGGAGGTGTAGTAGCACCAGGTTTGGACCACTAGCAACTCAACACCAGCAAATCAGAAGACCACAAGGGGGAGTGGAGATGTGGCTGCACTGCTGTTCAGATGTGTCTCCTCCAGGGTGTGTAGCACATCTACCTGTTAGTACCTCTTACTCATGGAGCTCAGGCACCATGAATCTGGAAGCTTTCTGCTCAGGTGCAGAAGGGGTGGTGCAGGAGGTTTCCTAATGCACCCACAGAGGAGCAAACAGAGGTAGTCTGACCCAATATTGTTACTCCACTAAATAACTTCTAAAGTGAACTCTGATTCTATAGAGGGGAAAATGTACCACGAAGGAGCATGATTAAACATAAAGGGTCAGAAATAGCCTCAAAGGTTGTTCCCACCATCCATGACAGGTGAAATAACAGAATTTTGGGGTTCAGATTTTGAAAGTAGTGCCTGGGATTTAGCTACTTATTTTCCATTAAATGTGATGGAAAACATGTGGCTTCATTCCCTGCATTGCTTTGAAAACTCTATCTAGAGGTCTAACAGAGTAGAACCACAAATTATGTAGCTAGATGTTTCTTTCTTTTTTTTTTTTTTTTTTTTACGTTTATAGGCACAATTGATTAAATCAACAATTTTGCACCAGCAAAATTTGAGATTTTGGTTGTTTTTTTAATTTCGCTCAGATATAATTTGCCTTACCATTTTTAATCAAATATAAAATCTGTGTACCTTTCAAGGCTTTTAAAGTTGGTCAGGATCTGTTTTGTCTAATTTCTCTGTACTTTATTTAATCTAGTGTGTCTCTGGTGCGTATCACTATGGTGTCTGAGTGCCAAAAGTGATAGATTTCTGCAGCAAGAACGTCCTTCTATAAGAACAGGTTCATAGTTTTAATTGTTTGTTTGGAAGAATGTACTTTTGCTCACCCCAGTGCCTTAACTTTGTAAAGCAGAGATAAGCAGAGGGCAAACGAACACAAGAAAACTTCCATTGTCTCAGCTACAAGAAAGAAAAATGCGAAAGCAGTTCCACATGATGCATGCCTGTATGGTGATCTGGCAACCTCTGCGAAAAAATATTCCTTGCAAAGGAGAGCTGGAAGGAAGGAAGGAATTTGTTGCCTCTAAGGATCTGATTCCATGTATTTATCGAAAACTTGGATTAGCATTCTGACAGGTTTACACTGGCTTCTGAGGTTACAGCAAAGCTAGGCAGCCATGTTGCTAGGATTGTAAGCCTGATGGCCATTTCTCACTTGCCTACTATTGTTCTGGGTGTTTGTGCTAGGGTTTAATGCTGCTGCTTAAAAAAAAGGCATTATTGTGAAGTTAAATGGATGAGATTGCCTTACCTTGTTTTGCAGTAGACCTACACTCCCATGTAAACAAAATTGGTTTATTTTTTGCACCTGAAGATAGCTGTGGGGGTGGCTGTAACATACTGGCTAGCATGTGAGATACCTTATACCTGTACTGGATAGAATGTGACTTGATCACATCCTGTAATTATTTGTGATAGGATTACCCTTTAGGGGCTGGAGGCCTACAAATAGAATATATATCAAGCAGTGTTGTCAGACCTCTGGCCCATAGATCAGATCTGGCCCACTTAATGTGTCTCATATGTCCTATGTTCACATGCTAAAGAATCGTAGCTTATTTTTCTCTTTTTCAAGAATAGAAAGTTTCTAAACCCTCGTGATTGTGTTTGATTCCAACGTGAACAGAGCATCACCCAGGCAGTGTTGTCTTTCTGAGTTTGAAACAATGATCAAGAGCTGTGAACTGCCCTGTTTCTCTCCATTAGCCTCAATGAGGTGTAACTATCTATAAAACGTAATGACGATACTTTAAATGTCATAATTAATTTTTTAATTGATGCTCATTATAGGTGCTGGGATGGTGAAAGGGTTGGGATTTAAGTCCACACCAAGATGGGAATGGGGAACTGCTTCAGGGAAGGAAATGCGGAGGGAAGAACAGAAGAGACACCCAAAGACAGTAGAGGGAGAAAAAAAAGCAAAAGAAGGATGGGAAAGGAAGTGAAAAAATGGGCAGAAATGGTTGTAGTCTTACTTATCAGAATATTTTCCCAGTGAGTGATGCTGAATGGGACAATAAGATGATGACTAAATAAAAATACAATTGATAACTAGAACATGTAATTTTTTACAAATCATCAAAACATTTTGAAATTTCAAAATTGTTTCCATTTTGCAGGGCTTGTAACAGACCAGTTAAAAGGAGTTCTGACATTTTTAATCAAAATTTGTCTTGAAAATGTCATAAAAATGACTTTGTTAATGAAAAATTTGGGTAAATGTTCTGCAAATGCAATTAAAAATATGGAGAATTTTGGGGAAAAGGAAACACTTAAGACAAAAGTTTGTTTTAAATAAAAGGCCATTTTCAGCACCCTTCCTCCCCCACTCCCCCCAAAAAAGAAGTGTTCAAAAATTTTAACTAGCTACAATAACTGAAACTGAGTTACAATATAAAGGCCATATTTCCCCCTTTATCTTTGTGCAAACTCTCATTGACATCAATGGGAATTCCACTGTGGACTGAGGGTAGGTTGTATAGTCATAAATGTCTTCCACATTTAAATCACAACTTAAATCACAGTTAAAAATGGGACTCAGCTCTTTCTATTGAATAGGTTTGACACTCCTACAGCCTGCAACAGCATAAGCATCACAGTCATCTGTAAACGGATGGGCCTGATTGTTTAAACCATTTAAAATGAGACTGCACAAAGAACTAGATAATATACTGTATGCACCATATTTAACTGACAGGATGATGTATTATGACCTATAGATCTTTTTTCGGTTCTAATCTCAATTATGGAAAAGGCCAGAGAAGCCTGTCCCTGAGTCAAACTATGTCACTCGCAAATAGAGATAAGTAGGACTTGAATAGCTTACGTGATACCAGCTAACCAAAGGATTAAACCTAATAGCCACATGCTGATATATAAGAAGGGAGAGAAGTCTGGGTATGGTACCTGCAGAGAAACCCAGCTCTCCCACTCCAGCTGCTGGGGAAGGAAGGGTACTGGGATTCTTCTTAGTTCTTGGAGCTAGTTTGTGGATTTTACTTCTCATGTTATCCTCTGTAGAGTAAGTGCCTGGGAGTATTTTGGGGTTGTTATTTTTTTTGTTTGTTTTTACTTCAAATATTATTATTCAGGCAAACAAAGGTGAAAGTTTAATATCACTGAATGTATGGATGTATATCCATTGAAAACATAGTTTTGATAAAAGCAACAACAGAAAACAGATTATATGTTTCTTCCAACTCCGTTGACAGATGGAACTAGTAATTGATTAACTCTGATCTATTCCCCAATATGAGAGCATTTCACCTAAACTGGATTACACAGATTTCAATTTAAATGAGTGGAAACACCTGTTAAATATGATATTCAGTGTCCTTAGTTAGAACTTGTACTATGTGCAGAAGACAAGTACAGAACAGGCAAGAAGATCAAAACAACAATGAAAAGGAAATGCTACTTTAAAAGTACATTTGGAAGAAATATAACTTAAATGTTAAACTAGTGCCCACTGTCACCCTTGCACATTCACATGAAGGAAAAAAGGAAAACCAATCGCAAGTCATGCTGACTGTTTCCCCCCCAATCATAAAACCAGCACTCACACTGTTGCTATTACTGGTGGAACTACATGGACAGTGAATTCCCACTTAATGAATTCTAATTATGAAGTTTAGCAATGTAGACAAGGTCTTAGTTTCCTGGTGACTTCCAGAGTGAAAATTGTTCTATAATTCTTTAGTGACAGTGCATTGAATTAGAGGGGATGGGTGGTAGGTTTGGTAGCCTAAGTAAAACTCAGGTTTAGCAATCCCACCTCTCTTGACACTATTTTGTAATAGTTACAGATGTGCCCTAACCTTCCCATCAGTATTTGCTCACTAGCTTTTGGAAGTTCTTAAAGAATGTAGTAGCAATCAGAATTGGTAACATATAAAACAGATAAGAGATGTAGGTGAGCCAATTCATTGTAAAGGCATTTGTTTTACAGTGTCCTAATATCCATAGTTATTGCCATTGAGCCATCTCTTCCTTAACCACAGCAAGCAGGGTAAGAATGTTACTGAATCTTTATTTGGAGTCAGGTGCGGGGCCAGCTTCAGAATTTTCTGCCAGGCCTGAAAGTATTTTGCCACTGACACCACCCTGCTACCCAATCACACAAGCCCCTCCCCCCCACCTCAAAAAAAAAAAAAAAAAAACCAGACTGTGACCCGCCCCTGCTCACTGCCAGTCTGTATAAATGTGAATGAAGACAACTGTCTCCATTTTATAAATAAATAGAATAACTATGTGCTTCTGAAAACCAGGAAGGTCTCTGTTCCCGTAATCCTTGTCAGCTTTACAGAAAATGATATTTTCCTGCTTCTTGGTGATGGGATAGAGAGATGGTGTCTATTCCTCTCCCATCTTCTTTGCTGCTGCCAGAGGGGGGTGGGTTGTGTCTGGTACTCTACCCAGCCTCCAATTTTGGGTCCTCCTCCTGGGTGAATAGCTCCATGCATTTTGTAACAAACAATCGAAAGTCAGTTTCTCGTTCACTTACCTGCCAGTCCCTAAATACTCTGGACTTGAAAACACATGCTCACCAGAAGGAGAGACCCTGTGAGCCTGGGTGAAGTGTGCCCACACTGCCATGCTACAAACAATACCACAGCAAAGCCACAGCTCTTCAATGTTCATTACCAAATTGTTACTCCCAAACTAATACGTCAGTTCTGTCCCCCTCGCCCCAAAGCAAATAACTTCTGGTGCACATGTACACCAATTACTAAAATGGGCCTCTGCACCATCCCTTTCAATAAATGGATTCTGGGCTCTGCCATGCTTCCCCCACCCTTCTTGAATTTTGGACTCCCTGCAGTTAATAAATACACCCCCACCCCGACTCCCATTAATTAATTCAGGTGTCTTCCTCTGCCCATTAATGAATTCTGAGCCCCAGATAAATGAATGAGACTCCATACCCATTTGTACAACTTCTCTGGAGCTGCATGGTTCTAGGATGTGCCAGGAGACCCTTATCAGGAATGTCAGCTTCTCTGCACCTCTCCCTTCCTCTTTAAGGAAAAGTGCGAGTGCCACACTTTTTTCTTGCTCCTCTCCTGCCATTTGCAAAGAGCAGTTGGCTCTGCCATGCCACACTCTGCCTCTCCCTCCCCTCCTGAGGTAGAGGAGCTCTTCAGGAGGCTCCTCTGCTTCCTGGCCACCCCCTTACCTCCTATGAAGGACCAGGGTTGCTCTGCTCCTTTGGTCTTCCCTGCAGAGCAACCAATTGCTTGTCAGTCCACTTGCCTGGGCAACATTTCCAGTCTCTCTAGGCTAGCAGGTGACTTGGCTTTTTAAACACCGAGTCATCAAACACAACAGATTAGGGACTTGGCTGGCTCCCTGCATGGATGAGGTGCTAGTGACATTAACAATAAAACTCTGGCCTCACAGTTTGGCAAGTAAGTGAAGGAGGAAATTGTTTTTAAATATTTCATTTTAAAATGCATTTATTTGTAATTTCTAAGGATCTTCTATATTCTGCTGACCTTCCAGTTTGAGATGCTTGCATTACTGTTCCCTGTCCTACGGATACACTCAGAGGCTATCTGCTTCCAGGGCTATCAATCTGGAACCTTTGTTCAGCATGAAATTACTGTGCTTTTATAGAAGAACTAAATGAAGTTAATTTCCTAGGTGAGAACAAAAACACTGAAATAAATGTTGAGTTAGTCTGATACCATAATCAATTTTCTTGAGGGTGCCCAACCGTGTGCTGCTTACTCACATAAAACTCACTTTGGCTTCAGTAGGAGTTTTGTCTGAATAAGAAGTCCAGAAATGTGCTTTGAGGACAAATTCTGCATTTAATTACATAGAATCAGGTCAAGGGAGTTGCACCGAAGTAAGTGAGAGCAGAATTTGGCCTGTGTCAAGGTTCCTTCCCTACTCTGAACTCTAGGGGACAGATGTGGGGACCCGCATGAAAGATCCCCTAAACTTAGTTCTACCAGCTTAGGGTAAAACTTCACCAAGGCACAGTCTTTGCCCTTGGATTAGGTAAAACGCTGCCACCACCAAGTGATTTAACAAACAGTCAGGGAAAGGACTACTTGGAGTTCCTATTTCCCCAAAATATCCACCCAAGCCTTTACACCCCCTTTCCTGGGGAGGCTTGAGAATAAACAAGATGAGCACAAGCCAGCCTTGGATTTTTAAGACCCCAAAAAACCCAGTCAGATTCTTAAAAAACAGAACTTTATAAGAAGAACAAAAAAAGGTAAGAGAATAACTCTGTAAGATTAGAATGGAAGATAATCTTACAGGCAGTCAGATTCAAAACATAGAGAATCCCTCTAGGCAAAACCTTAAGTTACAAAAAGACACAAAAACAAGAATACACATTTCCTCCAGCACAACGAATTTACAAGCCAAAACAAAGAAAACCTAATGCATTTTCTAGCTAGATTACTTAGTAACTTTACAGGAGTTGGAGGTCTTGCATCCTTGAGCTGTTCCCGGGAAAGGTATCACACAGACAGACAAAAGCCTTTTTCCCCCCCTCCAGATTTGAAAGTATCTTGTCCCCTCATTGGTCATTTTGGGTCAGGTGCCAGCAAGGTTACCTTAGCTTCTTAACCCTTTACAGGTGAAAGGATTTTGCCTCTGGCCAGGAGGGATTTTATAGCACTGTATACAGAAAGGTGGTTACCCTTCCCTTTATATTTATGACAGCCTGTAATGTAAAGAGTGTGCTACTAATTTGGGGCTGATTGCTTCAGCACCATAAGGAGATTCATTTTGCTGGTGGTTTTATATATCTGTAAGTTTTTTGTTTTGTTTTCATAGGCCAACTCAAGATTGGGCTGCTGGACTTTCTTCTGTTTGGCAGTCTGATAGCTGCAGTGGACCCTGTGGCTGTACTGGCTGTGTTTGAAGAAGTTCATGTCAATGAAGTTCTGTTTATTATCGTTTTTGGAGAATCGCTGCTGAACGATGCAGTAACTGTGGTAAGAGGATTTCATATCCAAGAGTCACCCCAGTTCTGGAGGGTTTATTCTGAACTAATATGTCCACCATAGAATAAAGTGGCATATTGTCTGTGGCTCTCTGCTCATGTGTCAGCTACCACACGAAAGTTCTACTGGCATTGCTTGTCCTCCTTGTTTGCAGACATTTTGTTGCAAGTATTAATTATCTGAATATGAAGAGGGCATGTAGGTCACATATTATGTTCCTGTTCCCTGGTTGGATAAATATAACTCTTAAAATCAGGTTTCTGGTGCAAATACTTTATTTGCCATTTCTAGTCATCATGACTATCGTGATTTACTAAATTTATTTCCTGAGGTTTTGGGATACCTTCTGACAGTTCTTCGAACTGCTTGAATTTATTCCCAAAGGAATCTCTACTTTCATTTTTTAAAAAGTTTCCAGACCTGATGGTTTCAGGGAAAAGTTTTAAAATGTGACCCCAGTGCATTGTAAAGGCCCAGAAACCAAAAAGCATATAAACAGAACTTAAAATGCACTGGTTTTAAAAATCTCATGATTTTTGAATATTTGGGGTTGGCAATACTGTGGTCAGCAGTTGGATATCTATAAATATCTGTGAGGACTACAATGTAGAGTAAGAAGAGACTTACAATACAGCCTAGCTAACTCAAGTTATTTCTGTAACATCTCATCACTAGCCCTGTTTCTGTAGTGATGAAAGTGTTATAATAATGCCCCAAATAGTATCCTCAATTTCCAAAGCACGTTGTGTAATTTTTGCCCAGAGTCCCATTTGGTGCTTACCAAATTAGAATTCTCTTTGCTCCAGCCTACATTTTAATTAAATAAACACTATATCGAAGAGATGTTTTGATAACCAAATTATTTTGCTTTTAATTTCTTGGTGCTTTATTTTGCCTATCCACTCCCTTTTGGATGCACAAAATCTAAAATATATATTTTTTAACCCACAAATCACCCTCTGTGCTAAAATGATAATTATAATCCATTAAACTGCAGAATTTATCATGATTCTCACTTTTCTTCATCTTTCTTTACTGTCCACGTCTTCTTTAAAAAAAACTTCCATCAAGCACTTAGCTGCTACAGTGATAGGCTCTATGAAAGACCCTTGGACACACAGACAGACAAAACAGCCAGTTCTTTGGATAGATATATTCTACAGATTTCATTTTTATCATATTTTGGCCTCATGTTATTTGATTATGTATTCTCCAAACAGTTTTCCGCTTCAAAATAAATGGATTTTTTTTTACCTCAGTCTAACAAAATTTCAGGATTTCCCAGACCCATGCATGTGATGATTTGAATTTGCTTGATTCAGGAACAAATGCTAAGAGAAGCTACTTTTCTTTTTAGGTGCTGTATAATGTGTTTGACTCTTTCGTTGCAATGGGAGCTGATAACGTGACTGGGGTGGACTGCGTAAAAGGCATTGGTGCGTAGAATTTAATTATATGTTAATCGTTGATAAGTCTGCAGGACTGTAATAATAAATCATTGTAACCCTGTCAGCTTATGGCCTTTTGTAGCAGTGTGGGATTGACCACAGCAGCACCTCCTGCTGGCCATTCTGGAATTAGCTCAAGTCCATCCATAGGGCGCCCTCCTCCGGTGGTGTCTCCCCTGCTTTCGGAGGAACCAGCAGTCTATAGTCCAGCCACTCGCCTTGGTGGCCTGCTGCAGTCACCAGTCTAGTCCCTTGCTCCAGAGGCAAACTGCAGTCTGTGTTGGCCACTTCCCTCAGGGCAAGTGAGGGCAGCCCTAGCACCTTATCTGCCCTTCCTCCAGGGCCTCAGTCTGGCAGCAGTCAGCCAGCCAGAAGCTCCTTCTGGTCATGGTCATGGTCATGGTCATGGTCATGGTCATGGTCATGGTCATGGTGCTCCCAGGCAGCCAGTCCTTCTCCCTAGCAGGCCAGGGAGAGACTCCCTCTGCTTTGTTGAGCAGCCCTTTATATATGGCCCCTGCTGGCCCTGATTGGCCACTGCAACAAGTCACGTCCCAATTGGCTCACTTAGTGAGCCCTCCTCTAATTGGAGGGTTCTGCGCAGGCTCCCTCTGACCTGTTTTAACCCTTCCTCTTCCTGGTGTGGGGCAAGTGCCCCACAACACCTTTACACACCCTTTTCCTTCCATCTCTAACTCTGAGGTTCTGTGGCACACCCCAGAAGAAGAAACCCACAATTGTACCTCCTCAATATTTGAGAACTGTAGCAGAAGAATTTTCCTCCTGAGTAGCAGCTCTGGGTGTTGGGCTTGGCCTCTGAAATCTAAGCAGTAGTTGGGTTAGATGGTTAAGACTACCTGACTTGACAACTATGCATATTTTGTTCATGATTCTGCCCTACCAGCCCTACCCTTTTGGAGCCCTTCCAGCAGAATAGCTCCTTTCCTGTAGTAGGAGGGCTTTTGTAGCCACAGCATGGTAGTGAAAGGGTTATATAGATATATATTCCCCATCTGTTTTAAATAATCAGGATTTGACAATGGTTACCAAGCAATGTTGTCCAAGATGTTGCAGTTCTTTCTCATTCTAAGCATAGGGAAACACTGTATCATTTTATATACCACTCTGTCAATGGTAACCCATGCATATAATTTTGTATGTGGTTTGGGGGAAATTTGTTTTTGTGGCTTAATGGGGAAATTTGTTTGGGGCAAACTCTTGGATTTTGAGCAATCTCACTGTGGTGACCTCTAACAATAAATAACCTTGTGTTTCCCTGAAAACGCTGAGAATTCCACATTCATACAAAGCACTCAAAAGTGATAGATATGTGTTTAGGGTTTTTTTTCAGGTAGCTGAATTATGTCTCAGAATGATGGGGATCTAGCACCATCCCTCTACATCATTAACCAATTGATAGGAAAGCCAGTAATAATTAAGACAGTTAGATGGTATTGATTTTTTTAAAAATCAGTTTAATTTGCATTTGTCCTTGTTTCAGTGTCTTTCTTTGTGGTGAGCCTGGGAGGAACATTTGTTGGCATTGTCTTTGCGTTCTTGCTCTCGCTGGTCACTCGCTTCACCAAGCATGTCCGAATCATTGAACCTGGATTTGTGTTTGTGATCTCATACCTGTCCTACCTCACAGCAGAGATGCTTTCTCTTTCTGCCATCCTTGCGTAAGTCTTTTATTTTATTGTTCTCCCTGGCAGTACTGGAGACGGAGCGTGGTTTTCAAAATCAATGAAATGTTAGACTTAAAGCACAGAGGCAAACTAGAGAATATTACACGTGAAAAAACAAAGACCTGGTCTGAAAATCATGATAATAAGTAAGCAATGGGTTACAGATCTAAAATACAGCCTTGAAAAGGGGTGAGGTTTCCAGGGTCCGGTTTGCAGTGTGAGGGCCCTTATTGTAGAATATACTTATTTGTTGGTCCCATATATGAATGCTAGTGCTTTGATCGTAACTGTTGGTATCGATTCAAATTTTCATTCTGCCACAGAATTTGTGATTAACACAAACATTTTCTAAAGCATGAGTCAAAGGAGAGTGTTGCTCTGACATGCTGTGCTCTCCGCTTACAAATTTTAAACTGCCAAATTTTATATTATTCTTTTAAACTTTCTCCACATGGCCAATTCCCCAGCAATCAGCTAACTAGATGTCAGGACAGGCAGAGTAAATTTGCCTGCCCTGTATTGAATCCCAGTGTGATTTTTGCCCGCTGCTGTACATTGGTTCTGAGCATACCTTCCATCTCAGTTTTGCCTATCCACTTTCAGTTGTTATTAGCCGCTACTGTTTCACAGGCTCTCAACCAGAGCAATACCATAGCCAGTATTTTCAAGATCTGAAAAACCTACTGCAAATGTCAACTTAGGTTTATATCTAATGTAAGCTTTAAAGTATTGACTGTGAAATAGTATGGAAAGTTGAAAGGCAGAAGAAGCTGGAGTTTTTTTATGATCTAATGAAACATTATTTTAGGGGGTGGGTGTTTATGGTATGTTTTCTTCATAGTTCAGACTCTACAGTATTCATTTAGATGCATTTATTTATTTCAAGAATACCAATTGGAAGCTTTTTTTCCCTGTCTGGCAACTGAAGTAGAGAGAGAAATACATTGCAACAAATATTATTATTCAAAGAACTGATGGGCTTCTTTTCAGGATAACTTTCTGTGGTGTCTGCTGTCAAAAATACGTCAAGGCTAATATTTGTGATCAGTCTTCTACCACCGTGAGGTACACCATGAAAATGTTGGCAGGCGGATCTGAAACTATTATATTCATGTTCCTGGGAATTTCAGCTGTAAATCCAGACATCTGGACTTGGAACACAGCTTTTATACTATTGACTTTGGTCTTCATCTCTGTGTACAGAGTCATTGGTAAGAAAAACTGTCATTCAATTTTTGCAGTGTTGATGCAAAACATATTTTCATGCTATATGGGATCATGGCATTTAGGGGCTTGTGTTTTTTGATATGCACCCATAGTTCTCAGTAATCTCAGTTGAAGTTATTACTACCGATGGTGGGTAGGAGAATAGATTCTTTAGTAAGCTTCATCACTTGCTGAAATCATAGACAGTTTTAATAAGATGTTTCAGGTAGCGCACCTGAGTTGCCCAAGGACTAATTTCCTGACTTTGGTGGCACTGGCAAATCTCTGGATCAAACGGACCTTATGCTACAACTTCTACCTAAACAAAAGACTTGCACTTTTTGTCAACCATCTCTTTACTCCTCCCTCTTCCCTTAGCTCTTTTAATTCTATAATTAAGAGATTATATTAAGCTAATTTTATGTTTGGCTTCAAGCTTGAGACATGGTGATGTAAGGCCCTACACAATCATAGCTCATATTCACTGGTATATGGTGCAAGAGATTTCCAATGGCTGGTGAGAAACAAAGAATGAGAGCCGGTGCTACTGCACCCATTTGGTGTACTGCAAAGGAACAGGGATTAGCTGTCGTTTTATTGGCACGACATAAAGGGTTCACTTTCAAATACATCAAATTCCAAATGATGAATAAGAATTTGCTAGGGTGTAGCTTATGTTCAAGTCTGTACTATTTAATCATTGTGTTATTAAGTGGCAAAAAAAGACAGCCATGTAATATGATAAAGTACTCCTTGAGCAGAATGTACACACGCACATTCACATACACTGACACCCAGGAAAGCATTAAACAAAACTTGGCTCGTGAAGGTTCAAATACCTCCAGTTCAAAGAAAATACAAATAAAACCCTATAACTAGATGGGTGCTCTTGCCTTTTTGGTTGGAGCCTCCTGGCACATGAGTGGAGGGTCTAACCCTTTGTCCTTCCAGTTAGCATTTCTGCATAGCAAACTGATATAGTCTAATCAACCACCGGGGTTGTGTGCTGCTTCAATAAACTGTTGCATCCTTGACTGTTAGCGTTTTTGATATAATCCTGGGTAACTAATGGTGTTGCTGTATTGCTGGAATATACACAGGGGCTCTCAGTAAGAGTCATCATCAGTAACCAAAATAAAATTTAAAAATATCAACAATGACAATAAGTGTCAGTGAAGTAATTAAACTAAATGGTTGATTAAAAACACTGGAGATATGGTGATGTCAGGCATTACATAATTACAGCTCATGTTCTCCTGGAGGAACCACAGCGGTGACCTGAATTTCTTTAGAAAGATCCCTCCCTCCAGCAGGCGTGGGTCACAATCTGCACTCCTGAGCACAGGGACTACTCCTGGTGAGAAGAGCACAGAAGGGGAGGGATGCCTTCCTCTGCTGCCCTACCACAGAGGGGAGCACACAGTGGGTGCACCCCTGTCTGGGATGATGAAGCAGTCATTTCCTCTGCACAGCTGGAAGCTCCATGAGGCATTGTACCTTCTTGAGCTTCAAGACCCCACCAGGCTCTTGCAGAGGGATACACCTCTGCAAGGACACTAATGTAGTGCGTTGGTGTAATGCCACAGTTTAGACCCCAAGACACAATGGTATGCAATCAAAAAATCTGCAGTATGACATGTTAATGGTATCACATTGCCTCCCAAAATCAACCCCGTTATAGCATCACTGTCTTCTTGAAAATAACAGGGTAAAATGTTATAAATCATTTCTTACTGCACTGCAGATTCTCCTCTACTCGTCTTCCTCTGTTAAATTTCAAGTACCACCACCCAGGAAGCCAGCCTGATGATATAATAGTGCATTGTGTTGCCATCAAGGGATGTGAAATGGGGTCCTTATGGACTATGGCAGTGGAGAGCTGAAGAGATATAGGGTGAAATCTTGGCCTCACTGAAGTCACTGGGAGTTTCACTGGTCATGGGGGGTGGGTGGGAGGATCCCAGAGCTCAGGCTCCAGCCAGAGCCCTGAAGTCTACCCAGCAATGAAACAGCCCCGCAGCCCCAGCCCTGTGAGCCCAAGTCAGCTGCGGGTTTTTCTTTGCTGTGTAGACATTCCCAGTGGGGCCAGAATTTTGCCCAGTGTTCCCAAACTGCAGGGATATCACTCCTGAATTAACCCTTCTGGCCAACGCTCAGAGCAGGGATGCTGATTGCTGGAGAGTGCTGCATCCTTTTCCTTTGGTTGGAAGTGAGGGGGATGGTCACAAGGATGCAGGACCTTAGAACCTACTGAAAGGAAGAGAGTAATAAATGTAACAGAGAGTTTGTTTTTAAAGGAAGATGGTTAATCTATTTCTGTTACACTTCAGTGAGCCTGTGACTTTTGTTTTTATAGGTGTAGTGATACAGACATGGGTTCTAAACCACTACAGAGTGGTCCAGCTGGAAATAATAGACCAAGTGGTAATGTCGTATGGTGGACTACGGGGAGCTGTTGCTTTTGCTCTAGTCGCACTTCTGAATGAGAATAAAGTGAAGGAAAAAAACCTATTTGTCAGCACAACTATCATTGTTGTGTTCTTTACCGTTATATTCCAGGTAATTCAATTACTTGATTCTGCTTCTTAAAAAGAGGAGGAGGAGGTCCAAAAGGTATGGACGTGCCCCTCCATTTAAAGCAGTTCTCAGCTGCAGGTGAGGTACTGTTTCAGTGAGCCAAAAACATAATTGGCTCTGTAATTTTAGTAGCAAAGATCCCATTTTATGTTTTCACGTGGCCCCACAGGGGACAAAACACAATTTGCTGTGTGCTAAAAACTGTTCAGCCTTAACAACTGCAGTGTATTAATAGAGCTCAGGTGACTATTTGAACGAGTACCCGTCCCGTCAGCTGAATACCCAAGGGAAGCCGCCTTTTTACTGGGAGTTCCAAATAGTAAACTGCTTTACCATACGCACATATGCATGTTTTTAAAAGGCATAAAAAATAAATGGAAAAAACATAATTCTCCATGAAATCACAATTTCTGACGAAATAAATCAACATTTGCTTACGTGGAACTAAGCTGACTGACACCGGCTAAGGATCTGGCTCAGATAGATTATAATGTTCTTAACATGTCAGAATTTCAGAACAGATTGAGAGTAGATTTATATTCTCGTAAGATGATTTTGAAATTTTTATTAATGTCTTGTTATCTAGGGTTTGACAATCAAGCCTTTGGTACAGTGGCTAAAAGTGAAGAGAAGTGAGCAACGAGAGCCCAAACTGAATGAGAAACTCCATGGCAGAGTAAGATTGTAACAGCAATATTATGGGGGTTTGTGATTGCAGTAGAGATGGTCAAAAACCAGGAAAGAAAAAATGATTTTCCCTTTTGACAAAAACTAATTTCAAGATCAAAATAATTTCTACCAGCTCTATAATTAACTGGCTTGCCCAGTTGTTTTCTGGTCACTCTTTGCATTGCTTGGGGGGATGCCCAACAGGCCAAGTTTTTACTTCCTAAACCCTCAGGGGATGGAAGACAACTTGCTCAGCCTTGTGAGGCAATGGTGCCCATGATCCTTCATCTGGAAAAATTAGTAGTTGGAACATAGGGGCTTGACTTTGAGCAGGTCGATTGAAGCATATGAAAATAAGTTTACTGTAGGACAAAACTTAAACTCTAAATATTGGTTTATCTGTGTACGGGACAATTACCGGGTAGGCAATTATGAGAACATATAACTTGCATGTTACATAAACAGTAGTGTATAGTCTAGTGTAAGTGCTAATTTACAAATTAGCACAGTCCGATTTCTAATCAAGACTGAATGCTGTTCACACCCTTTGCAGTCCTAGAATTTGAAGGACTCTTCATCTTCAGATCTCTTGAAATTCACCTTTAGGAGAAGGTCCTAATACACTTTTTATATAACTTCTTCCTGTACTGAATATTTTCATAGCATTCAAGACCAGAAGGGACCATTAGATCATCTAGTCTGACCTCCTGTATATCACAGGCCATGCCATACATTTCAACCCAGTTACCCCGGTATTGAACCCAATAATGTCGTCTGCATCATTCTGATAGTTAAAACTAGAAGTTACCTAGTGTGAATTAGTAAGTTATACTATGGATAAGTTATACATGAGGGAAAGGCAACCAATTAAGCATGTTAACAGTTCAACTCATGAACTCAGTACTTACCTGTGTCTGAAAATTTAGTGAAAACAAGAACTCCTGATGTGGCCTTAAGTTTTTCCATTAGACAGAGTGCCAAGTCTGACAGGTGTGTCCCATCTACCTCTTCCTCTTTGGAAACCTTAGTCTGGTCCTGTGAATACCACTGTGGCCCCCTGCTGGATCCTTAAGTTTCAGTGGACTCCAGTTCTAATGCTACTGAATACATCTGATCTTGAGCACACTTTTGCTTGTCAGCTGAGATGGTGTTTGTCTTCAAGAGAGATGAGAGGAAAGCTTACAAAATACTCATAACAAAGGCAAAGAAGGAAAAGAACACAAAACACCCAGAAGTAGCCTATATATTTTGTTCTTTCCAAGTTTTCCGCCACATAAAATAATACCTTCCAGGTGTGTATCTGTGAAGTACCTTTGGTGTGTGAGTAACAAGTTGAGGGCTATGTTATGGCATTAGCCATAGCCCTTCTTTAGATGCACTGCAATGCTGCACTACTACAATGTGAGTTCCAGGAGGGATTGTGTCTCAGGGAAGCACAATACCTCCAGGAGCACCTAAGAAGGGCACTCAATACACCACCCCTCAAGATAGCATAGTATACATTCCCAACCAGTGGTAATGACGTACCTGACTTATCATATCTTATTCTGTACATCCCTAACTCTCTGCTATATATATCTGGTGAGGTGATATTGAGCGTCATGCATATATTATATTCAGTAGTAATGCTCATCAAGTGCACCAGTCATGGTGTGCACTAATCTAAACCTATCGTGCTGTAGATCTCCAAGAAATCAGTCAGATGTTCAGAGTAAAGATTGAGAAGGCATAGAAACAAAAAGTCAAATTCTGCTCTCAATTACACTGATGTAAATATGAGTCAGAGTAATTCCGCAGAGTGGAGTTATACCAGTGTAAATAAGGAACAACTGAGGACAAAGATTTGCCCAAGATGTTGAGTGTTTTACAGTAAGAATAAAAGAGAGTTGGTACTCACACTACACTGAGGGAAATATTCATTCTCAAAGAGTATGGCAAGGAGCTAGAAGCAACAAGAAAGAAACCTTCAGCTGATTTAGAAGAGGCACATGTCGTGCACTTCTGACAGCAAAAAGGAAGGAGATGCAAAAGTGGGATTAGGATGAAGGAGCAATAAAAGTGAGAGTTAACAAAATAGGATCTGATTCTCCTCTTACTTAGATTCGGGTAAATCAGGAGTAATCCGTGAATAGCACTATTGTAGAACTGGATCTGTAGGAAATTGAGATGCTAATCTCAGCACACTCATGTAAACAGGAAGTAATTCCACTCTATTCATAACATTGTTCTGGATAGACAGCAAATCTGATCCATATGAATTAAGCTATTTTATAGCAATGCCCTTAACTTCCACACCATATTAATTTTATGTTCCTTTTCATAGGCTTTTGATCATATTCTTTCTGCTGTTGAAGACATATCTGGACAAATAGGACATAATTATCTGCGAGACAAGTAAGTGGTGTTAGCTTCCCTTATTTTACTGACCTGGGATAGTTAAGAAAATGGGAATGTATTAACATAGTGATAGCTTTGCTTACATCTGTCTGATGAGCGAAATGGGTATTTAGGGAATAACTGAATGGAGACAGCTTGGGTAACACTGGTACTCTCCCCCCCTCCCCCCCCACTTCCCACTCCCTGAATTTCTGGAGTTAATCACACTAGCTAAAAACCACATTGTTGCAAAAATGTGCATTATCTGTGCAGTCAGTAACCATTTAGATTATTCAACAGGAAGATTTTTTAAAATTCTAATATACTTCTCAACATTGATCCAGTTTGTTTACATTTTTGCATTCCATTCATCTTGGAAAATGAAACAACACTAGCTATTTTCATTGATTTCATCACTGTGAGAAAGACTCTAAGGGCAATTCACAGATTAAACAACATTGCCCTCCTCTGCTTCAATAATCATTTCCTGGAGAACCAATGTTGTCTATTTTGGATAGGAAATCCCTTTTGTAAACGATGACTTTTAAGTTTTTAGGCTATCCAAGTGAAAGGTCTGGGATGTTACCACCATCTTTTCAGTTTATAACACTAACTGGTTGATAATCCCCAGTGGATTTTGGGGACTGTCCATCTCCCACCAATGGAACCTTTTCAGTGTCACAACTAAGGCCCGGGATTAGGCCTTTGCAAATGTCATCATCCATATCTAGGGATCTATGCCTGTGTAGAATTACTTGAGAGATGGCCATTTGCACAGGATTTGAACCGAACACACAATTTTAGCCCCGCTGATACCAACTTTAGGAACCATTTTTGTGTGTGTGGGAGAGGATGTTAATCTGTTCCAAGTTGAAACACACAAATGTTACCTCCTTGTTGTTGCCTTGGACAACAGGTTCTTCAGCTTTCAAATATTTTCACAATTTCATTTCAATTATATATAATGGATTATAATGAAGATGCTCTGAAACCATGGTGATGGGCAGACTTTGAGAACTAGAACAGGGAAGGAAAATAAAAGGAAAGACTATTATAACCTGGAAATGTAGTTTCTTAGCCCTGGTCTACACTAGGACTTTAGGTCGAATTTAGCAGCGTTAAATCGATGTAAACCTGCACCGGGTCCACACAATGAAGCCCTTTATTTCGACTTAAAGGGCTCTTAAAATCGATTTCCTTACTCCACCCCTGACAAGTGGATTAGCGCTTAAATCGACGTTGCCGGCTCGAATTTGGGGTACTGTGGACACAATTCGATGGTATTGGTCTCCGGGAGCTATCCCAGAGTGCTCCATTATGACCGCTCTGGACAGCACTCTCAACTCAGATGCACTGGCCAGGTAGACAGGAAAAGAACCGCGAACTTTTGAATCTCATTTCCTGTTTGGCCAGCGTGGCAAGCTGCAGGTGACCATGCAGAGCTCATCAGCACAGGTGACCATGATGGAGTCCCAGAATCGCAAAAGAGCTCCAGCATGGACCGAACGGGGGGTACGGGATCTGATCGCTGTTTGAGGAGAGGAATCCGTGCTATCAGAACTCCGTTCCAGTTTTCGAAATGCCAAAACCGTTGTCAAAATCGCCCAGGGCATGAAGGACAGAGGCCATAACAGGGACCCGAAGCAGTGCCGCGTGAAACTGAAGGAGCTGAGGCAAGCCTACCAGAAAACCAGAGAGGCGAACAGCCGCTCTGGGTCAAAGCCCCAAACATGCCGCTTCTATGATGAGCTGCATGCCATTTTAGGGGGTTCAGCCACCACTACCCTAGCCGTGTTGTTTGACTCCTTCAATGGAGATGGAGGCAATACGGAAGCAGGTTTTGGGGACGAAGAAGATGAGGAGGAGGAGGAGGTTGTAGATAGCTCACAGCAAGCAAGCGGAGAAACCGGTTTTCCCGAGAGCCAGGAACTGTTTCTCACCCTAGACCTGGAGCCAGTACCTCCCGAACCCACCCAAGGCTGCCTCCTGGACCCAGCAGGCGGAGAAGGGACCTCTGGTGAGTGTACCTTTTAAAATACTATACATGGTTTAAAAGCAAGCATGTGAAAGGATTACTTTGCCCTGGCATTTGCGGTTCTCCTAGATGTAGTCCTAAAGCCTTTGCAAAAGGTTTCTGGGGAGGGCAGCCTTATTGCATCCTTCATGGTAGGACACTTTACCACTCCAGGCCAGTAACACGTACTCGGGAATCATTGTAGAACAAAGCATTGCAGTGTATGTTTGCTGGCATTCAAACAACATCCGTTCTTTATCCCTCTGTGTTATCCTCAGGAGAGTGAGATATAATTCATGGTCACCTGGTTGAAATAGAGTGCTTTTCTTCAGGGGACACTCAGAGGAGCCCATTCCTGCTGGGCTGTTTGCCTGTGGCTAAACAGAAATGTTCCCCGCTGTTAGCCACAGGGAGTGGGGAAGGTTGAGGGGGTAGTCACGCGGTGGGAGGAGGCAAAATGCGACCTTGTAACGAAAGCACATGTGCTATGTATGTAATGTTAACAGCAAGGTTTACCCTGAAAGAGTGTAGCCACTGTTTTATAAAATGTGTCTTTTTAAATACCGCTGTCCCTTTTTTTTTCTCCACCAGCTGCATGTGTTTCAATGATCACAGGATCTTCTCCTTCCCAGAGGCTAGTGAAGCTTAGAAAGAAAAAAAAACGCACTCGCGATGAAATGTTCTCCGAGCTCATGCTGTCCTCCCACACTGACAGAGCACAGACGAATGCGTGGAGGCAAATAATGTCAGAGTGCAGGAAAGCACAAAATGACCGGGAGGAGAGGTGGTGGGCTGAAGAGAGTAAGTGGCGGGCTGAAGAGAGTAAGTGGCGGGCTGAAGACAGGGCTGAAGCTCAAATGTGGCGGCAGCGTGATGAGAGGAGGCAGGATTCAATGCTGAGGCTGCTGCAGGACCAAACCAGTATGCTCCAGTGTATGGTTGAGCTGCAGCAAAGGCAGCTGGAGCACAGACTGCCACTGCAGCCCCTCTGTAACCAACTGCCCTCCTCCCCAAGTTCCATAGCCTCCACACCCAGACGCCCAAGAACGCGGTGGGGGGGCCTCCGGCCAACCAGCCACTCCACCACAGAGGATTGCCCAAAAAAAAGAAGGCTGTCATTCAATACATTTTAAAGTTGTAAACTTTTAAAGTGCTGTGCTTAAAGTGCTGTGTGGCATTTTCCTTCCCTCCTCCACCACCCCTCCTGGGCTACCTTGGTAGTCATCCCCCTATTTGTGTGATGAATGAATAAAGAATGCATGAATGTGAAGCAACAATGACTTTATTGCCTCTGCAAGCGGTGATTGAAGGGAGGAGGGGCGGGTGTTTAGCTTACAGGGAAGTAGAGTGAACCAAGGGACGGGGGGTTTCATCAAGGAGAAACAAACAGAACTTTCACACCGTAGCCTGGCTAGTCATGAAACTGGTTTTCAAAGCTTCTCTGATGCGTACCGCGCCCTCCTGTGCTCTTCTAACCGCCCTGGTGTCTGGCTGCGCGTAACCAGCAGCCAGGCGATTTGCCTCAACCTCCCACCCCGCCATAAACGTCTCCCCCTTACTCTCACAGATATTGTGGAGCACACAGCAAGCAGTAATAACAGTGGGAATATTGGTTTCGCTGAGGTCTAAGCGAGTCAGTAAACTGCGCCAGCGCGCCTTTAAACATCCAAATGCACATTCTACCACCATTCTGCACTTGCTCAGCCTGTAGTTGAACAGCTCCTGACTACTGTCCAGGCTGCCTGTGTACGGCTTCATGAGCCATGGCATTAAGGGGTAGGCTGGGTCCCCAAGGATACATATAGGCATTTCAACATCCCCAACAGTTATTTTCTGGTCTGGGAATAAAGTCCCTTCCTGCAGCTTTTGAAACAGACCAGAGTTCCTGAAGATGCGAGCGTCATGTACCTTTCCCGGCCATCCTACGTTGATGTTGGTGAAACGTCCCTTGTGATCCACCAGAGCTTGCAGCACTATCGAAAAGTACCCCTTGCGGTTTATGTACTCGGCGGCTTGGTGCTCCGGTGCCAAGATAGGGATATGGGTTCCGTCTATAGCCCCACCACAGTTAGGGAATCCCATTGCAGCAAAGCCATCCACTATGACCTGCACATTTCCCAGGGTCACTACCCTTGATATCAGCAGATCTTTGATTGCGTGGGCTACTTGCATCACAGCAGCCCCCACAGTAGATTTGCCCACTCCAAATTGATTCCCAACTGACCGGTAGCTGTCTGGCATTGCAAGCTTCCACAGGGCTATCGCCACTCGCTTCTCAACTGTGAGGGCTGCTCTCATCTTGGTATTCATGCGCCTCAGGGCAGGGGAAAGCAAGTCACAAAGTTCCATGAAAGTGCCCTTACGCAAGCGAAAGTTTCGCAGCCACTGGGAATCGTCCCAGACCTGCAACACTATGCGGTCCCACCAGTCTGTGCTTGTTTCCCGAGCCCAGAATCGGCATTCCACAGCATGAACCTGCCCCATTAGCACCATGATGCATGCATTGGCAGGGCCCATGCTTTCAGAGAAATCTGTGTCCATGTCCTGATCACTCACGTGACCGCGCTGACGTCGCCTCCTCGCCCGGTATCGCGTTGCCAGGTTCTGGTGCTGCATATACTGCTGGATAATGCGTGTGGTGTTTAATGTGCTCCTAATTGCCAAAGTGAGCTGAGTGGCCTCCATGCTTGCCTTGGTATGGCGTCCGCACAGAAAAAAGGCGCGGAACGATTGTCTGCCGTTGCTCTGACGGAGCGAGGGGCGACTGACGACACGGCTTACAGGGTTGGCTTCAGGGAGCTAAAATCAACAAAGGGGGTGTCTTTACATCAAGGAGTATTTCAGGCAGGACTTCACGGAGGGTTCCAATAAGAAATGGTGCACCTAAGTTATCGTTCTTATTGGAACAAGGAGGTTAGCCTGGCCTCTGATTGATACATGGCTAGATTTACCTCGCTGCACCTTCTCTGTGAGTGACTGCAGTGTGACCTAGAGGAATGAGTCCCCTAGACAGGGGAGGAGGCAAATGAGTACAAAACAAATCTGGTCTATTTCTTGTTTTGACCCACTCCATCTATTTTTTTACATCTTTGGCTGGCAGCAGACGGTGCAGAAGGACTGCATGCCATCCACATCTCATGGCTGCTCGGCAGAAGATGGTACAGTATGACTGCTAGCCATCCTCATCTCTTGCCTGCCTGGCAGAAGATGGTACAATAAGACTGCTAGCAATCCTCATCTCCTGCCTGCCTGGCAGAAGATGGTACAGTATGACTGCTAGCAGTCCGTATCGCCTGCCCGCTCGCCATAAGACGGTTCAATAGGACTGACTGCAGGACTAAAGAGAATGACCTGGTCAAGTCACTCCAAATTTAGTCCCTGCGCCCATGTCTGCCCAGGCGCTCCCAGCCGACGTGGCCAGGAGCACCTCGGACATGACGATGACGGCTACCAGTTGTACTGTACCGTCTGCTACCACAAGGCAAGGGGTTGCTGCTACTGTGTAGCAAAGCCGTACCGCGTCTGCCAGCACCCAGGAGACATAGGGTGACGGTTACCTGAGCGGGCTCCATGCTTGCCGTGGTATGGCGTCTGCACAGGTAACTCAGGAAAAAAGGCGCAAAACGATTGTCTGCCCTTGCTTTCACGGAGGGAGGGAGGGAACGGGGGCCTGACGATATGTACCCAGAACCACCCGCGACAATGTTTTAGCCCCATCAGGCATTGGGATCTCAACCCAGAATTCCAATGGGCAGCGGAGACTGCGGGAACTGTGGGATAGCTACCCACAGTGCAACGCTCCGGAAGTCGACTCTAGCCTCGGTACTGTGGAAGCACTCCGCCGAGTTAATGCACTTAATGCACTTAGAGCATTTTCTGTGGGGAGACACACACTCGAATATATAAAACCGATTTCTAAAAAACCAAATTCTATAAATTCGACCTTATTCCGTAGTGTAGACATACCCTTATAGTGCTACTTGAGGATGGAAAATCCTTTCAGCCATGGCCTTAAAGCAAACTCTCTCTTTCCCCTCTGTTCAGTTTAGCACTGCTGCAGTAGAACTGAAATAGAGAGCATGGAGAGACCAGAAGTTTGAGCAGAGCGTTGTCCAAACCAGCTTTGAGGGAATCTGGAAACTCGGGAATCTGTACAAATGTCATGTGTTAGGGTTTGTTCCATCATAATAGATTACATTTGTACACCTAAGATAATATTTAACGCTCCTTAACGTAGCAGAGTAAAGAGAGATTTCTGTTTGTTCATACAATGACGTTTTTAGGAGGGGTCTCATATAGAGAATACCCATTTTCCCTTGGGTAACAAGGAATCCTGTCCTGGGTTTGGGTATTGGGAATGAATTTCTGACGATGAGAAAATAAGAGAACATTTCCTCAGACATGGCGTGTTGGCTGTGATGGTGATGAAGTTGAAGCTTTCTAAAGTTGCAGGCCAGACAGAACCTGACCACTTTGATTTAGGAGGGGGGGGTCTCCCTGAAAAAGGAGGAAAGGCCCGACCTAACCTAGATACTTGGCTAACTGTTAGCTTTGGTGACCAAGATCTCCTGAATAAGTGCAATCTCAAAGTTACTGAGAACAGGCACCACCTCAATATCTGAGAATAATTCACCGGGGGGCATGCAGTGTCTTCTCAGTGGGGCCAACCTACAAGACATTGGGTAAAAAATCACCCATTACTGAAGGTAAACTCTTTTACGTAGAAAGAAAGAGATTTTTAACTTTTACTGTGAGGTTTCCTAAAGGCTCTTAAAGATACAATCGAAGAGTGATAAGTAGAAAATTAAAATGGCATTATTCCCTGATGCATGGCATATCCTATTTATTTGGAAACTAGAACCATTTTGTATATTCTAATCACAAACCTCTTACTGCTGTTGTTCTGCAGTAGCTGTGCCTGGTAGTTGCAACTCTCAAAAGTTTGTTGTGAATTGTGTAACTCCATATAAGGCTTTTCCAAATGTGCTTTAAATAAAGCAACAAAACATATTTCCCTGTGTTTATTATCCGATAAGGTGTATAACAATGCTTAACTCAAAGGAACAGCTGTTCAAGCAAAACTAAAAATGCTAATTATCATTTAAATTGATTGCTGCCGTTAAAATTGTTTGTTTAAATCACTAGGTGGTCCAATTTTGATCGGAAAATCCTCAGTAAAGTACTGATGAGAAGGTCTGCTCAAAAATCAAGAGACCAGATTCTTAATATTTTCCATGAGCTCAACCTGAAGGATGCTATTAGCTATGTGGCTGAGGTACTTTTAAACATCTTATCTTACACACTGTAACATCATATTTCTTTGTTTTAAATATTGCAGCATTTCTCAACTTCCATGTATTAGGAGCGCTGAATCAAAAGCAAATCTACTTTTTATGGTGAAATGGTATTTGAAGTGCATTGTGTCCCATTCTTACCTATTTATGTGATTGTGGTTCGTTGTATTACCTCTAAATTCCTCAGTGCCACTGGGTCCTGTATATGTCAAAGTTCTCTTCTGGTAGGTGTCATTTAGGAGTTTGGCTTCTGCCTCGGCATGCGTTGCATAGTACCATGGTTTCATGGGAATTATGCAAGTGAGCATGTGCTAGTCAGCATGTGTAAAGGTGGCAGAATCTGGCTCCCTGTGAATAATTAAACAAGCTGTGGCTGAAGCAATAGTGTGCTTTCCAATGATGACTTGTTCAGAAATTAGCATTAGAGTAAGCAGTGCAGATGGCAGCTGCAGACTGAGAGCATCTGGGGGCTAGCCTCAAGGTGGAGCTTATTTTTGTAGCCAAATGAACTACAAGGTTGAAAAAGAGCTGGTTTTTTGTTTGGTTGGTTGGTTTTTTGGTTCATTAGCTTTCCAAAAAACTAACACCAAAACACAAAACGTTTTTGCTCCACCAGCAAATTCAGTGTTACTCGTGGGCAAAATCCAAAATCTTTTGGAATGGTTCCCAAGCTTTTTCATTTTGTGAGCCATGTCACAAGACAACAGTCTTTTTTTTTTGGACCAGCTCTTCCTGCTCTACTATCTATTTGTTGGTTCTCTAATTGTTTAATTCTGCGGAACACCAGGAAGGAATCCAGACACCACAGTCTGAGAACAGCTGGCCTCTCAAATTCCTACCAATCTCTGGATACCAGCAGGCCAGAAAATCTCCTTGTTGTTCTCCCCAGCCTACCCCGTTAGTCTGGATATTGAGCAAGAAGGCTTTGTTGATCCGCACTCCTATGGCACATAGGCAGTCTTCAACTAATAGCTAGAACCTCATCTAGACTAAGAGCTTATGTCAAAGTGTCTTGTTCTAGTTATCACACACAGAAAGGTTTCAGAGTAGCAGCCGTGTTAGTCTGTATCTGCAAAAAGAAAAGGAGGACTTGTGGCACCTTAGAGACTAAAAAATGTATTTGAGCATAAGCTTTCATGAGCTACAGCTCTCTTCATCGGATGCATTCAGTGGAAAATACAGTGGGGAGATTTATAAACACAGAGAACATGAAACAATGGGTGTTACCATACACACTGTAACGAGAGTGATCAGGTGGGAGTGGGGGGGGACCTTTTGTAGAGATAATCAAGGTGGGCCATTTCCAGCTGTTGACAAGAATGTTTGAAGAACAGCGCGGCGGGGGGGGGGGGAGAGGAATAAACATGGGGAAATAGTTTTACTTTGTGTAATGACCCATCCACTCCCAGTCTTTATTCAAGCCTAAGTTAATTGTATCCAGTTTGCAAATTAATTCCAATTCTTGTCAACTGCTGGAAATGGCCCACCTTGATTATCACTAGAAAAAGGTTTCCCCCGCCCCACTTTCCTGCTGGTAATAGCTCACCTTACCTCATCACTCATGTTACAGTGTGTATGGTAACACCCATTGTTTCGTGTTCTCTGTGTATATAAATCTCCCCACTGTATTTTCCACTGAATGCATCCGATGAAGTGAGCTGTAGCTCACGAAAGCTTATGCTCAAATATATTTGTTAGTCTCTAAGGTGCCACAAGTCCTCCTTTTCTTTTTACACACAGAAAGGCCTCCAGAAGTATAACTGCAGATGAATATCCACAAAAGGACATTTCTACCTGTGACCAGAAATATCTGTAGCCTCATTTTATGCATTTAAGTGTCATGGGTATCATTTAAAAAACATTTCATGCTTCAATCAGTAATAGTTCTAGCAGTAATATAATTATGAACCTCATAGTCAGGTACCTTAAATATCTGATTTCCTTTTCACTGTAATATTTATGTAGGTGTTTCTATTTTCAGATGTCACAGTGATTTTTCTAATGCCATGGAACGGTTCCAAATTGCTTAGAACACAGATTACTATAAATTATGCATAGGTGATTGTACAGCACGGAACATAGGTTTTCTCCACCGTTGTCACAGGTCTCCTGAGTGTCCTTTCCAGCCTCAGTAACTGACCGCAGCCACTCCAGGTCTTCTTAACCACCACTGTGCTCTATTATATATTACATTTACAATCAATAGCCAGCTTCCCCACTTGCTTTCTGGGGAAAGGTACACTAGTAGTTTGAACAGCACCCAGTCCTGCCTAGTTGTTCCTTCCTTCAGGCACCCTACTCTCTCCAAGGCTTCCCTCCTGTCTGCCTAACTGCTGGGAATACTTCCACCCTATTAGCCTCTCAGCTGTATTGCCACTCAGTTAATTGGCCTCCTCTGCCAACTGCTTGTTTTTCAATCAGAGCTCAATTAATATAAACTGGCAGGGAGATGAGTGACAGGGTGTTAAGTGAGCTTCTGGCTCAGCACGCCGTGTTACAACCGTGTTTAAGCTTTCTTGATTCCTTTTCTGTGCATGGACATGTAAAATGGTCATGATAGAGCTATAGCTGACAAAATCACAATACATTAGCTTTGATCTTAAGAATAATGTACTTCTGTCAGTGGGGGAACTATTTTTCCACAGGTGTTCTGTTCACCGCTCATTGAAACATAGAATCAAGTCCAAGATCTCTGTGCTGCAATTTAAAGCCATATGTGGGATTGCCCCTCACTACCAGAGAAATTTTTCTCCCTCTGGGAGCATGACTTCACTCACTAGCTACAGTCCACCAGAACAATGAAAATGTCAAGTAGCAGGGGACACTGGCGAACACGGGAGACCAACGTTTCACAGGAATTCACTTTTGTATCACCATGCAAAAGTGAAAGCAAAGCTTTTCAATTTAGCTTTAGTTCCTCGTTCATGCATACATTTAATGACTAACCAAACATTTGGCTCTTTCTTTCTGGGAAGAAAGGAAGAATTACTGCTGTCATATCTTGGAAGGTGTTCAGCTAGCACAGATATGGGTGCCAATATAAGAACCTAGATAGGTAGATGTTTGCAGGTGACTGACAAGGTGTTAGATGAAAAATGTTGTCCATTATTGAAAGTAACCCTTTATATAGTGGAAAGAGGAATTCAAACTTTTTGTGACTCTCACTGAGGGCTTTTAGAGGTGCAGGGTACAATTTGCAGAAGATAAGGAGAAAGTGTATAACGTCCCTTTAAGTCTTCAAATTAGGGCTGTTAAGTGTGATTTAAGTGGAGTGGCTTTGGGCTGGCCCTCTGTACAAGGTTGACTTTTGCCCCAGGGAAATAAACCACGTGAAAAAAAAGAGACCTTATTTCTGTTACAAAAGAACCAGGAGAAAGTTGTATTTATGTGCCATTTGCCTACAGAAGCTTCAAAAATGATGCCATCTTTTTTTATGTTATACAGTTTAGTCCTGGGTATAGCTGTGTTAACATCATATACCCTTTGACTGAAAGCCCTACCATTAAGCTGTCATGCACCTTATTTGTTTCTGTGAACAGGGAGAGCGTAGAGGTTCCCTGGCTTTTATTCGTTCTTCAAGTACTGACAACATGGTCAACGTGGACTTCAGCACTCCTCGACCAAGTACTGTAGAAAACTCTGTCTCCTGTTTACTGTAAGTAACTTTTTTTAGGGACTATTTTTGTTTAATTTTTGAGTTATATATGATTAAATACAAAAATTGGTGTTTACCCCAGTACAAAATGAGTGTCACATACTCCCCTGCTGACTTGGTTGCTTTCTCTTCTGATACTGATAACAGAGTGATTTTCAACAGTGACGGGTACGCCACACTGTTCTTTCTGTGCAAGCCTATTTTATTTTTTAGGTAAAAAGCATTACAGAGGAAACATATTAAAAACAAAGAACCTACACGCATGCTAATAAGGGTTCACCCCGGCCCTAACATGGACTCTGGCAGGAGCAGTCCTTCAAACCCCCACCCAAGGGGATTCCTTGTGGTTACAACTCACCACAGCTTCAGCTCAGAACAGGCCCCCAGTCTTATGGGGCTGCAGTAGGCCTACTTCTTCCAACTCCTTCCCAAAAGGCTAGGGCTCTCCATGGACCAGGGGTTCTGTCCATTTGCTGGATCAGGAAGAAGGCCCTGAGCCAGTTTACAACCAGGCTATTTATCCAAAAATCCTTTCTTTGTCTTTCTTGGTTAGGGTGACCAGACAGCAACTGTGAAAAATCAGGACAGCAGGTGGGGGGTAATAGGCACCTATATAAGACAAAGCCCCAAATATCAGGACAGTCCCTATAAAATCAGGACATCTGGTCACTCTCTTCTTGGTTCATGAAGAATCCAGTTTGAACTAGTATATACACCTCTCTCCACGGAGTGGCTTCAATGTCTGATAACAAAGGAAGTATATTAGCATCCTCCTCACAGGTGCCAACTTTCTAAAGTGCCGGGGGGTGCTTGACCCCCAGCTCTGCCCCAAGGCCCCACCCCCACCTTGCCGCTTCCCACCACCCTTCCACCCTAACCCCGCCTCTTCCCACCCAGTTCTGCTCCCTCCCCCAAGCATGCTGCATCCTTACTCCTCCCTCTTCCCCGCAGCGCCTCCTGCATTCCGCGAAACAGCTGATCGCAGTGGGCAGGAGATGTGGGGAGGGGAGAACGCACTGATCTGCGGGGCCCACCAGCGGGTAGGAGGCGCTAGGAGCGTGGGGAGAGCTGATAGGGGAGCTGCCGGTGGGTGCTCACCATTTTTTCTCTGGAGCTAACCATGGAGCACCCATAGAGTCGATGCCCATATTCCTCCTCCTACTGGAGATTACATATATAGTCATTTTTTCACCTTTGCGGAAATCAGAAGCAGCTAAATGATTTTACACAAACCTTCCAAACTAAAATCTCCTTTGGTCAGAGACCGAGCATGAAAATGTTATCCCTATGGGTGAATTTTTCAGAAAGTTCCAGTGTGTAAGAACAGGGGATTATCATTCATACAGTTTTGTATCCCTCCCTGTAGCCAGAGCCTTGTGTGTTACGTGATACCAGAGCCACAGAATCCACCCTTTACCATAGAATTGTTGTTCAGAATTCATTTTTTAAATGTTGTAAACTTTCTTTTTCTTTTTCTTTTTTTTTGTAAATTATGAGACATATTTCCTGGTATGCTTCAGCAGTTTGTGTCACTTCCATTATGTAAAGCAGCTGTAAACTGGGTACAACCTGCCAGTTAAACCAGATTTATGGCTGCTTTGAATTGCAGAGTGGTGAATTAGTTGCAATGTATCGATAAAGCTGGCCCTATACTTTTAGCAGCCGGCTATTGGTGAAACTAAGGCTTTGTCTACACTAGTACTTTTTGTCGGCAAAACTTTTGTCAGTCAGGTGTGTGAAAAAAACATAAGTGTCACCAACAAAAGCGCCAGTGTGGACAGCACTATTCCCGCAGAAACATGCTGCTTATAGTGCTGGTTGAAAAAAGGTACGCCCATTTGCTGAAAAATGTTAGTGGAAGAAAGTATGGGGGAGGGGGAGGATTCTTTTTAAACGAGAAAGTGGTATTTTCCCTAAAATTTAAAAACAGACATTTTTGCAAAATTTCATAATTGTTGAAAATTTTCATTTTGGGAAAAAAATGATGAAAATGAAGTTTCCACACAAAAAATCACAAATATTGAAATCCCATGTTTCAATTCAAAACTTTAATTGAAAAAATGCAAATTGTCTCTAGCTGTTAATGTGCTTATCCCTTAATACCAAACTGCTTCCCATACCTTGGGCCAGATGCTTCCACAGTTACTCGCACTGAACAGTGTCACAGTTTCAGAGTTTAACTGCACCTTTGACACACACGCACCATGCTCTTATTCGAAGGCTCCCACATAAGGTTTCAGGCTCCCAGCCATCATATCTCAAGGGTGGACCTCTGCATCTCTCTCACTCCAGATGAGGGGTTTAGGTTCATGGTCCTCTGCACTGCAGTGTGATTTCCCCAGCAGGTCTGACTGGGGTCCAGCACCTGTTGTTAACCTTTCTCTAGGGGCTACAACAGTGTATGCCAGTGACCAACTAGCCTTCATAAAACAAAATACATTTATTGTTAGGGTAAAGGCATTACAGGGAAAACATAAAAACAATAAACGTTCCTATATGCATGCTAACACCTTACCAGAGGTCACCCATCAGTCTTATGGGCCCCAGTAAGCCAAAGCCCTAGTAAGCCAAGGGTTGCTCTGCCCCACCCCTCCCTTGGATAGATGATAGTGTCCGTTTGCTGAATGAAAATAAGGCTCTGTGTTAGTTCAAATTCAGCCTTTTTATATCCAAAGCCCTTTCTTTGATTGGGTCTCTGGGAAACCTAGTTTGAACCAGTATATGCAAACACCTCAGAGGACGGTGTACGGTGTTTCTCTGGAGTTGTTTACAATCCCCAGGGTGATCACCCCATTGTGTTTTTTAGTTCCTGGAGGAGCTGTGCTAACTCTCCCCCATGGAGCAGAACACAATCAGATGTAAATATTTAATAGATTTAATACATTGGTCCCCAAAGATGCTGCAAAATCTGTCACAAGTAGGACCTTACTTCTTGAGTAGACCCACTGATTTCAGTGGATCTACTCGAGGAGTACTGGGGCTGAATAAGGATGGTAGAACTTGGCCTCTTCTGTCCCCTCAGCTGCTGCCGAAACCTCCAGCTTCTCCTCTGATAGCTTCTGCCCTGCAGTTATGCATTGTCAATACAAACATCTGTGGCATATGAAAAACATAGGGGCAGAGTAAAAAAAAAAAAAAAAGCATGCAATACTAACATAAACAACATAGAAGAGACTATACCAGTTGTATTATCATTTGCATATTTAATTCAACAAAAATCTCCTTGTTTGAATATTCCTGCAGTTGACACCAAATTTCCCATCTGGTACACAGGCATGCCACAAAAACTATAGAGATATGCAGGACAATATTGGTCCAACTTTCTGCAGAGTACATGGGTCTTGCCTACAGTATTCACTACTGGGCAAATTCAAGAGGTTTAGTCTCAAGTCACCTTTTCACCCTTTAGGAAAGAAAAATTCACACATTTGTGAGAAACAAATGGCACATAACATTTATTGGCATAAATTTAACTGTGATGTAAACAGTGGCATCGGCTACTCATGAGATGCAAATTGGTCTGACCACAGATGTAAGCGGTCAAGTACTACTGAATTAGGTATTCCCCGGGTATAGAAAACAAGTGTGACTAATAGCATAAGGATGGATGACCTAGCTCAGCGGTTCCCAAAGTTCTTTCTGCCAAGGATCTCTTTGACACTTGACTAAATGTCCCAGACCCCTTTCATTATTTATACATAAGTTTCATGTCATTATTACTCTATTAGTTCGGTTCGTTTTGGCAACTCCAAAAATACACACACAAAGTTTAGTTCACTGGTCTCAGTTATTCCAGGGGCTCAGTTCTCAGCTTTGCCATAGAGTCCTGAAACCCTATACACGTACCTTTATCTGAATTTCTGTTTCCCCTAAATGTGGGTATTACTTGTGAGTGTTGTGAGTCTTGACATCTGTGGCAGAAAAAGTACTACTAAACCCTCACAGGGAGCGTGTAGTCCTGAATGGGCAAGTACTGGCATGACCAGGACGCCCCCACCAGCATGACCTCTCATGCACAGTGTGTGAGAAAAACGGTGTCCTCCATGCAGCAAAAGTGCCAGAAAGCTGTTCTGGCAGGTTCTGGCCCTGTCTCAAGGAACAGACCCCCGCATAACCCATAGCAGACCACCCAAAGGTCTGGGGACCCCACAGTGTGGGAACCACTTAGCTAGATTAATAGACCTTCCATCCTGCAGGTGCACAAGGATGGGATGTAAGAGTAAAAGAAGCAAACAGGCATAAGTTTATCAGATAAAGCAGATGATCAATCAATGCTAAATTGTTGCAAGTTGCACTAATTTGTCATTTACCTGCTTTTCCTGACCAAATTACATGACCACTGATGTTGTTGCTGAATCTGCCCGGAGGCTACCACCAGAGTTGTGCCCACTCACTCTAGACTACACTTGACCCATGATGATGTTTACTTGTTTTTATCCCATCCACACTTACCTTCATGTTTAAATATATTGTAGTGCACACTTTTTTCCCTCCAGTTAGTGATCTAGAAAAATGTTGTATGTATTTTAATATTCTGCTTCAGGAGAGAAAACGCCAGCTCGGTTTGTCTTGATATGCAAGCCTTAGAGCAGAGGAGAAAAAGCATACGAGATACAGAGGATACCGTCACTCACCACACGCTGCAGCAGTACCTTTACAAACCCAGACAAGAGGTAAGAGCACAGCTGCAGTGATCACCAGGTTTTCATTTGGCAGCCAGAAGAAACAAAATGCAGAAAATTGGTGGGAAACTCAAAATCAAAGGACAAATCTGCAAAATCAATCATTGACTGAAGATGGGCTCTGATCCTGCATACCCTTAATCATGTGAGCAGTCCCTATAACTGATTTCAATGGCACTGCTCAAATGAGAGAAGATTGCAGAATTGGGCCCCAGATCTGTTCTGCTGGTGGGTTGTTGATGGCCTGAAAGCTAAGTGGGTGGGTGAGGGTGAAATGAAGCATGTGAACTGAAGGAAGTCGGAGCGGTTTGATCCAGACCTGTTCTAGCCAGTGTGATTAATCTGAATGACTTTCAATCAATATTTTTCAAATTACCGTACTTCTATGTAAGAAGGAAATAATTAACTACTTGGGATCCTGTTAGTGTGTTGACTTGTAATTAATTGTTTTTTGGAATCAGTTGTTTTTGACAGTTGCCTTGGTGCTGAGCCCCAGTTTGCATTTCTATATAAATAAATGTTCTCTTATCTTCCTGGCTACAGCACATACATCTGTACAGTCGGCATGAGATCATTCAGAATGAAGACGAAAAACAAGACAAGGAGATTTTCCACAGGACAATGAGGAAGCGCTTAGAGTCTTTCAAGAGTACCAAACTAGGAATAAACCACCCCAAAAAGCTCAACAAAAACCACAAGAGGGACCGGGGCCAAAAAAGGGTAAGGGGAATGCACTTTAGGGCCAGGTCTCACCTGCCATTTACCCAGACAAAAGGCCTGGTGCTCTAGAGGAAGCATAGGGTAGTTTCAGCTCCCAGCATCAATCTCTTCCCCATGGAAGCTCCTCAGAGGGAGTACTGGCGATTAAGACCCAAGCCAGGGGAGAGATCAAAATGTGGGATGAGTTGAGGGGCAGCACTGGGAGGTGGCATTATACCCTCACCAATCTTGCGGAACATACCCGCCATTTCCCTCTGCACTGTGGGACCCTTCTTTTGGACGTGAGGAGATTCCAGGTCCAACAAGCACGGTGCCAGAAGGGTTGGCTCGTGTCAAGGTTCCTCCCCCACTCTGAACTCTAGGGTACAGATGTGGGGACCTGCATGAAAAAACCCCCTAAGCTTATCTTTACCAGCTTAGGTCAAAACTTCCCCAAGGTACAAAATATTACACCCGTTATCCTTGGAATGGCCGCTACCACCACCAAACTAATACTGGTTACTGGGGAAGAGCTGTTTGGACACGTCTTTCCCCCCAAAATACTTCCCCAAAACCTTGCACCCCACTTCCTGGACAAGGTTTGGTAAAAAGCCTCACCAATTTGCCTAGGTGACTACAGACCCAGACCCTTGGATCTTAAGAACAATGAACAATCCTCCCAACACTTGCACCCCCCCCTCTCCTGGGAAATGTTGGATAAAAAGCCTCACCAATTTGCATAGGTGACCACAGACCCAAACCCTTGGATCTGAGAACAATGAAAAAGCATTCAGTTTTTTAAAAGAAGACTTTTAATAAAAAATAGCAGTAAATAGAAATAAAGAAATCCCCCCTGTAAAATCAGGATGGTAGATATCTTACAGGGTAATTAGATTCAAAACATAGAGAACCCCTCTAGGCAAAACCTTAAGTTACAAAAAAAGTACACAGACAGAAATAGTTATTCTATTCAGCACAATTCTTTTCTCAGCCATTTAAAGAAATCATAATCTAACACATACCTAGCTAGATTACTTACTAAAAGTTCTAAGACTCCATTCCTGTTCTGTCTCTGGCAAGAGCAGCATACAGACAGACACAGACCCTTTGTCCCTCTCCCTCCTCCCAGCTTTTGAAAGTATCTTGTCTCCTCATTGGTCATTTTGGTCAGGTGCCAGCGAGGTTACCTTTAGCTTCTTAACCCTTTACAGGTGAGAGGAGCTTTCCCCTGGCCAGGAGGGATTTCAAAGGGGTTTACCCTTCCCTTTATATTTATGACACGCCCCCCAAATCTCAGCTAGGGTGAAACACTGGCTGGGATTTCTTCCTGGAGCTCTAGGAAAACAGAGTTAATAAGACACATGCATCTCTAAATATACTACCAAGTACATAAAGACTAACAATATTTTCCACATCTCAAGGACGATTTTAACCAGTTGATTCTGGGAAACTTTCACGGGAGAGTGCATCAGCCACTTTGTTAGAAGCTCCTGAGATGTGTTGGATGTCGAAATCAAAATCTTGGAGAGCTAAACTCCACCGAAGAAGTTTTTTGTTAGTTTCTTTGACGGTGTGAAGCCACTTCAGTGCAGCATGGTCGGTTTGCAGGTGGAAACGCCGTCCCCAAACATATGGGCGTAGCTTTTCCAGAGCGTAGACAATGGCGTAACATTCTTTTTCAGTGACTGACCAGTTGCTTTCCCTCTCAGACAGTTTTTTGCTGAGAAACACTACAGGGTGGAATTCTTGATCAGGTCCTTTCTGCATTAAAACTGCTCCCACACCACGCTCGGATGCATCTGTGGTTACTAGGAACGGTTTGTCAAAGTCTGGGGCCCTTAGTACAGGGTCAGACATGAGTGTCGCTTTAAGCTTGTTAAAGGCCTTCTGACACTTTCCGGTCCACTGAACAGCATTTGGCTGTTTCTTTTTGGTTAGGTCTGTCAGTGGGGCAGCGATTTGGCTGTAGTGCGGTACAAATAGTCTGTAATAACCGGCCAAGCCTAAGAAGGATTGAACCTGTTTCTTTGACTTTGGGACAGGCCACTTTTGGATAGCATCCACTTTGGCCTGTAGGGGGCTGATAGTTCCTTGACCCACCTGGTGTCCAAGGTAAGTCACTCTGTTTAGGCCTATTTGACACTTCTTAGCCTTAACAGTTAGTCCTGCCTCCCTTATGCGCTCAAGGACTTTTTGTAGATGTTCCAGGTGGTCTGCCCAGGAATCCGAAAATATGGCCACATCGTCAAGGTAGGCGACTGCATATTCTCTTAATCCCGCTAGGAGACCATCTACAAGTCTTTGGAAAGTGGCGGGTGCATTTCGCAGCCCGAAAGGGAGTACATTAAATTCATACAGCCCGAGATGTGTGATGAAGGCTGACCTTTCCTTGGCAGATTCGTCTAGCGGTACCTGCCAGTACCCCTTGGTTAAGTCCAAGGTAGAGATGAACTGGGCCCGTCCCAGTTTCTCTAATAGTTCATCTGTGCGTGGCATGGGATAGTTGTCTGGGCGAGTTACAGCATTTATCTTACGGTAGTCCACGCAAAAACGTATTTCCCCATCTGGTTTGGGAACTAGAACCACTGGAGATGCCCATGCACTTTCAGAGGGGCGGATTACCCCCATCTGTAACATATCCTGGATCTCCCGTTCTATAGCAGTTTTAGCTTGAGGAGACACCCGGTAAGGTTGGACCCTAATTGGGTGAGCATTACCTGTGTCAATGGAGTGGTATGCCCGTTCAGTCAGTCCTGGGGTGGCTGAGAACGTTGGCGCGTAGCTAGTGCACAGCTCCTGGATCTGCTGTCGCTGCATACGCCCAAGGGTCATGGAGAGGTTCACCTCTTCCACACCACCAGCACATTTCCCTTCGTAGTAAACACCTTCAGGCCACTCAGCGTCGTCTCCTCCCTGGGCTGTAAACTGACAAACCTTTAATTCTCTGGAATAAAAGGGCTTTAGAGAATTAATATGGTACACCTTAGGCTTTCGGTTGGAGGTGGGGAATGCTATGAGATAATTAACAGCTCCCAGGCGCTCCTGGACCGTGAATGGCCCTTCCCACGATGCTTCCATTTTATGGGCCTGGAGCGCCCTTAAGACCATGACCTGGTCTCCTACTTTGAAGGAACGCTCTCTGGCATGTTTATCATACCAGGCTTTTTGTTCTTTTTGAGCATCCTGTAAGTTTTCTCTAGCAAGGGCTAAAGAGGTTCGGAGGGTGTTTTGTAGGTTGGTTACAAAGTCCAGAATGTTAGTTCCTGGAGAAGGTGTAAATCCCTCCCATTGCTGCTTCACCAACTGCAATGGCCCCTTAACCTCACGGCCATATACAAGTTCAAATGGGGAAAACCCTAAACTGGGATGTGGTACAGCTCTGTAGGCAAAGAGCAACTGCTGCAACACTAGGTCCCAATCATTGGAGTGCTCATTTACGAATTTACGTATCATGGCCCCCAAAGTTCCATTAAACTTCTCCACCATGCCATTTGTTTGATGATGGTAAGGAGTGGCAACCAAGTGATTTACCCCATGAGCTTCCCAAAGGTTTTTCATAGTTCCTGCCAGGAAATTAGTCCCTGCATCGGTGAGGATGTCGGAGGGCCAACCTACCCTGGCAAAAATGTCTGCTAGTGCCTGGCACACACTTTTAGCCCTGGTGTTGCTTAGAGCTACTGCTTCCGGCCATCGGGTGGCAAAATCCATGAAAGTCAGTATGTACTGCTTTCCTCTGGGTGTCTTTTTCGGAAAAGGACCCAGAATATCCACAGCTACTCGCTGAAATGGAACTTCAATGATGGGGAGTGGCTGGAGAGGGGCTTTGACCTGGTCTTGGGGTTTTCCCACTCTTTGGCACACCTCACAAGACTGGACATAGGTAGAAACATCCTTGCCCATTCCCTCCCAGTGGAATGACCCCCCCCAAACGGTCTTTGGTCCTGTTCACCCCAGCATGGCCACTAGGGTGATCATGGGCTAAGCTCAAGAGCTTGGCCCGGTATTTAGTTGGAACTACCAACTGTCTCTGAGGATGCCAGTCTTCCTGGTGTCCACCAGAAAGAGTTTCCTTGTATAAAAGTCCTCTTTCTACAACAAACCTGGATCGATTAGAAGAGCTGAGAGGCGGTGGGTTGCTCCGTGCCGCCGTCCAAGCTCTCTGGAGGCTTTCATCTGCTTCCTGTTCGGTCTGGAACTGTTCCCTTGATGCTGGAGACATCAGTTCCTCATGGGATTGTGGACCTAGGCTTGGTCCCTCTGGAAGCGATATAGGGGATGGAGCTGTTTCTGTTGACTGTGAACCGCTCTCCGCTGGTGCACTATGTTGGGATTCAGGCTCCGGCTGAGCCTCTTGGGTCGGGTTATCGGCTGCTGCCAGTTCAGGTTCGGTGGGGCCCTCTGTTGTTGAGGTTGCAAGTACTGGATTCAGTGCTGACACGGGGTCTGGTGTTGGTTGTTCGGCTGGTTCCGGTTCTGGGACTGGTTCCGTCTGGGTCTCTGGGACTGGATCCACTACTGCTGTTGCAGACATTGGCCTGGGGTCCAGGTCCATCACCTCTGACTGGGTCCTGATAGAAGTTTCCGGAACAGAGCTAGGCCTCACGGCTTGTTTAGCCTGGCTGCGGGTGACCATTCCCACCCTCTTGGCCTGCTTCACATGATTGGCCAAGTCTTCCCCCAACAGCATGGGGATGGGATAATCATCATAGACTGCAAAAGTCCACATTCCTGACCAGCCCTTGTACTGGACAGGCAACTTGGCTGTAGGCAAATTGAAAGAGTTGGACTTGAAGGGTTGAATCGTCACTTGGATCTCTGGGTTGATTAAATTGGGGTCCACTAAGGAAGCATGGATAGCTGACACTTGTGCTCCGGTGTCCCTCCACGCGGTGACCTTCTTCCCGCCCACACTCACAGTTTCCCTCCGCTCCAAGGGTATCTGGGAGGTATCTGGGCCTGTGGACCTCTGGTGTGATTCCGGTGCAATGAACTGTAATCTGTTGGGGTTCTTGGGGCAGTTGGCCTTTACATGCCCCAGCTCGTTACATTTAAAACATCGTCCAGCTGACGGGTCACTGGGGCGAGGAGGGTTGCTGGAGAACGGGGTGGTGGGACGATAAGGGGTCTGGAGGGCTCTTTGGGAGGTAGGTGGGGCTTTGGGCGGCCCCCGGTAATAGGGTGTGGTCTGGGGTGGTCCCTTCTGGTCTCCGCTCCAACTGCGACCAGTTTTCTTCTTCTCTGCCACCTCCACCCATCTGGCTCCAATCTCTCCTGCCTCAATTACAGTTTTGGGTTTCCCATCTAGGATGTATCTTTCTATTTCCTCAGGAACACCCTCTAAGAATTGTTCCATTTGCATTAGGAAGGGCAAATTTACTGGAGATTCAACACTTGCTCCTGATATCCAGGCATCCCAATGTTTCACAATGTGGTAGGCATGTCGGGTAAATGACATGTCTGGTTTCCACCTTAGGGCTCTGAACCTCCGACGAGACTGCTCGGGTGTTATCCCCATTCTGACTCTCGCCTTGGATTTAAACAGTTCATACTTGTTCATGTGTTCTTTAGGCATTTCAGCTGCCACCTCAGCTAAGGGTCCACTGAGCTGCGGCCTCAGCTCTACCATGTATTGGTCAGCAGAGATGTTGTACCCAAGGCAGGCCCTTTCGAAGTTTTCTAAGAAGGCCTCAGTATCATCACCTGCCTTGTAGGTGGGGAACTTTCTGGGATGGGAAGTGGTACCTGGAGAAGGATTGCTAGGGTTTGTTGGTATATTCTGCTGGACCTTTATCCTCTCCATCTCCTCCACATGCTTCCTCTCTTTTTCCCTCTCCTCCTCCACATGCTTCCTTGCCTCCATTTCTTGTTCCTTCTTCAGCTGCATGAGTTCTATCTGTCTTTCATGTTCCCTTTGTCTTTCCTCAGCCTGAAATTTGGCTAATTCGAGCTGTAGTCGAGCCGCGGATTTTGCCATTCTAACCTCTCTGTTTTTACTAACTTTACACCCGAGGTTTAGAAATAAACAAACAAAACTTGGCTGTAAAATTTTGCTGTGCTGGAATAGAATACCTATTCTCTGATAGTGATTGTCAGCCTACAGAAAAAGACAATTCCCTTGTCTCTGCTCTGGGCCCAAATTAAAGCAAAAAACCTCCAACTGCTTGGAAACCTGCTTACCCAGCCCAAAGAAAAAGCAAATGGGTAGAACACACACCCCCTATTTACTTTTAGGAAGAAAAGAAAAAAAAAAACCCCTGGATTGGAAGACTGTGAATTTCCCTGCAGGAGTTAAGTACCCTGCCTCCAGGCAAAGAAAACCTGCAATTCACAAGATAATCCCCTTTTGTCTCTGCTTGGCCACAAAGCAGAGAGAAACCAAGCTGCTTTCAGTTTTAAAGCTGCTTTCTGGACTTTCTTTCCAAAGAAAAAAAAATTTCCTTTTTAAAATCTGTATTTCTAGTTCAAAAAATCTCAACTGGATCTCAAATGATTTCAGGTTAATCCCACCACTGCGCCACCATGTCAAGGTTCCTCCCCCACTCTGAGCTCTAGGGTACAGATGTGGGGACCTGCATGAAAAAACCCCCTAAGCTTATCTTTACCAGCTTAGGTCAAAACTTCCCCAAGGTACAAAATATTACACCCGTTATCCTTGGAATGGCCGCTACCACCACCAAACTAATACTGGTTACTGGGGACTAGAGCTGTTTGGACACGTCTTTCCCCCCAAAATACTTCCCCAAAACCTTGCACCCCACTTCCTGGACAAGGTTTGGTAAAAAGCCTCACCAATTTGCCTAGGTGACTACAGACCCAGACCCTTGGATCTTAAGAACAATGAACAATCCTCCCAACACTTGCACCCCCCCCTCTCCTGGGAAATGTTGGATAAAAAGCCTCACCAATTTGCATAGGTGACCACAGACCCAAACCCTTGGATCTGAGAACAATGAAAAAGCATTCAGTTTTTTAAAAGAAGACTTTTAATAAAAAATAGCAGTAAATAGAAATAAAGAAATCCCCCCTGTAAAATCAGGATGGTAGATATCTTACAGGGTAATTAGATTCAAAACATAGAGAACCCCTCTAGGCAAAACCTTAAGTTACAAAAAAAGTACACAGACAGAAATAGTTATTCTATTCAGCACAATTCTTTTCTCAGCCATTTAAAGAAATCATAATCTAACACATACCTAGCTAGATTACTTACTAAAAGTTCTAAGACTCCATTCCTGTTCTGTCTCTGGCAAGAGCAGCATACAGACAGACACAGACCCTTTGTCCCTCTCCCTCCTCCCAGCTTTTGAAAGTATCTTGTCTCCTCATTGGTCATGTGCCAGCGAGGTTACCTTTAGCTTCTTAACCCTTTACAGGTGAGAGGAGCTTTCCCCTGGCCAGGAGGGATTTCAAAGGGGTTTACCCTTCCCTTTATATTTATGACAGCTCGGGTCTCCATGGAAGTTGCTGGAACTCAAGGGAGCTGATGGTTTGAGGCAATGAAACTCCAGCTTCTCCTGCATGGAGGAAGGAGGGACAAATCCAACCTGACTAATTGCAAAAGGATTAGGAAACGCTGCCACGTACCACTAATAGAGTTGTGTGTCTGCACTAACGTCAATGGGAGTTCTATGCAAAAACAAAATAAAGGCTTAAAATATCTAGGCATGGTCACCACTGCGTTATTCCAGTATTATGTTGGTGAACTCCATTTCATTGGCAGAAAGCTGGGAAATCAGGCTCTCTGTATCTGCAATATGTCCTGCATGGCGATCGCTGTCTGAGGTAACTTGAAATGTTTTACTTTTTCAGAGAACTAGTAATGCCATACCAAATGGAAAAATACCTTCCGAAAATCCAGTGCAAGATTTTACTTTGAAGGAAAAAGGTAATTGCACTGTCAAACAGTAGTTAACCAGATTTTTTTTAATCAGCTTGTATTTTGTTGGAAGAAGAGAGTTCTTGTGAAATTTCATGTCAGGAAAAAAAACTAAGTTGACATTAACAAATGTACTACTACCCATGTCACATTTCCCCCTCTCCGTGCCTAAAACAGATGCGTTTGGAAGGAAGTAATCAACATTTAAAAAATAAATATATTTTCATAGACAACTTGGTGACAAGCTGAAATTTAACCTACTTTATAACTAACTAACATTAACAAAACCAATGTTTAAAATCTTGAAATCCTAAAAATAATTGGAGGCCATCATAAAGAAGGCCACAACATAGATAAAATGTCAGCTACTGACTCATGACATGCTACAGCTAACTATGGCAATGGCTTTCTTTGTGATCCCACGGGTACGTACATGCGCCCATCATGACTTGCCCAGGCATCTTGTAAATATCAGTACTTTCTCTGAAAGCAGAGCAAGCAGGCTGGAACAGGAAGCCAGCATAACATGTACATGAATGGAAAGACAGTATAGCCAAATATTGTGCTGACCCTAAATGCAACCCCAGTGACTAGAGCACAGAATTTGGCCTTGCAAATCTAACTTTGGGCTTACTAGCGTTGGGAGTGTCCCTAACAAAAAAAGGAAAGAAAAAAACTTGCACTTTCAATTTTGCAATTAAAGAAAAAGATCCTTTGATCTGAGTTTTAGCTGTCTCTTTGCAGGTGCTGTTGCACTTGCTGGAGTCCATCACAGTAAGTTGCATCTGATGCCACCTGCCATAATGGCAAGTTATTATAAGGCATTGAGTTAAATTCTTTCCTCAGTTACCCATGCAACCCTGCTGATTTTAAAGAGGGCTGTGAAGTAGTGAGGGAGGGGTGTCAGAATTTTCCTCCTAGCTTTCAAAAAGGAATCGTGTGGGTGTGGGAGGTAGAAACTACGGTCTGCAGAAACTCTGAGCTCAGGTATTTGCTCTGTATCAGTTTATTAGCATTTATTTTTATTGCCAGCAGCAATATATTGGCTGAATAATATTTATACTTTTATAGCTCCTTTGATCTTAAAGTGTTTCCCAAACATTAACTAATTAGGCCTTCCATCACTCCTGTGTTAAGGGATTTTCCATAGAGGGGTTGATAAGGGATTTAATGTAGGGGGATCATTTCACCTGCCACTGATATGGAGCTGCCTCTGGGGGAAAACACAGCAGGTGTTTAACCACATACAGCAGCACTACATAGTGGTTTGGGTTGAGAGGTGGGAAAGAACATCATAGCCACTGCAGGGGGGAGTGTAGATTGGCAGGAATTAATTAACCAAGTTTGAAATGATCCAGGACACTGGTATTAACCCCTTTATGAAAATGCAGTGGGATCTTCAATTACCACAAGTTGTCAGGACCTCCATTTTGTATCCCATTTGAAAGAGAGCACCTCGAGCAGCACAGAGACCCCTGACGCTATGCTCCAGCTTCCTTTCAGCACTGGGGTAAGCAGGAAAAGGGCCACTTTCTGAATCAGCACTTGCTGCAGTTTGTAAGCTTTTCCTGCAGCTCTCCTATCCAAGTACTCATCTAGCCCAATCCCCTTTAGTTTGGAAAAGCAAACATAATTACAGCACAAGATACTGATACAGGAGTGAACCAGGAATCAAATATTAGTGACCTGATAAACTGGAAATTAGATGTGTACAGAATTTAGTTCTAAAGGTACAATGATTGCTTTCAAAACGTACGTTTACCCAGATTTACATTGAAGATTTACTATACAAATCTTTAATACTCACACTAGCATCAAGAAGCTACCAAATAACACTTTGGGTCAAATCTTTTAGGAATCTCTAGTGCACACTGATTTTTTTTATATTTTCTTCCAGATGTGGAATTTTCTGATCCAGAAGAAAATTATGAATCTCTGCATACGGGCAAAGGAGTTGACTTTTTAGCTAATGTCACTAAGCAGAATTGCACAGATGCTACCTCTGGTAAGAAAATAGATTATAAATGCAGAATTTTTCTTCAATTACAAAGCAGTTTATTGGATTTTTTGTTAATAGCTTTCTACTGATGATATTGACAAAGGTTGTGGTCATGACTGCATAACCTGGCTGTGAAATGACTGATCACTTCTAGAGACAGGAAAAAATTATTCTAGAGTTGTCCTGATTTTCCAAGTCAGCCAGTATTCAGCCATTTTGAATTGATTTCTGCTTTGTCAGGAATATATACGTCAACTTGACTCAAATATGTTTTCTTCGTTTCCTCTTGATGAGGAATGTCTCTCCCCAAAATTACTGTGTCCTGGGGCCCAGAACTGGCAATAGTTAGTCCAGTATAAATTTAAATTCTAATATTATTCTAGTGACCCTGCAGAGCTAGAAGCAGGGTCTTTCCATCACTGGAGATTGCCAGCTTTCCAGTGGGACACGCAGCTCTTGCTTCCAGCCTTGGAAAGTTCAAAGACATCAGATTTTAAAACAGTGACATGTTCATGTCTAGAAGAAGCTATTTTAGATAATGTTTACGGTTTTAAAATGTGTTAATTTTCCCTCTCTCTAATCCCGGTCCAATAGGACTCACAACATAGTAGTTTGTTTTCTGTGGCACGTGCAGGCTATGTGAAGGTGCAGTGTAGTATAATACTTCTATTGGATTCATTTGAATATAACCAAACTCATTCTGATAGAACTGTTCTAATACACCGCAACCCGAGGGATACTGTGTTTAGGGTGCATATAAAGTAGCTATTAATGCTCCAGAAAAGAATGAGGTTTCAAACAGGACCTAGACTGTGATTTTTAAAATGTTATTTTACGGTTCACCACGTGCAGATTTGATATTTGTTTTAAAAGGGCTTTGTTACCTGTTTCCACACATACAAAAATGGTACTTTTGACTGTTTTGGCCTGTTTCTCCTCTTGCACACATTTTACACTACTGTAAATCCACTGACTTCAGTGGAATTATTGATTGTCAGAGGAGAATCAGACCCCCATCCTGTTATATACTCTTACTATGTGGGTTTACACTATAAGTTCTAGGAGACTGGGGAGCCAAATTTACCAGTATCCTCTGACTGCGTTGTGCTGCTGTAGTGATGCCAAAAAGCCATAAACCTGTCTTAATGGGCTAGTTAATCCAGGCGTGAATCTCCTTTGCATTACTGGGGTGATGCAAGACAGCTGGTCAGTCTAGCCCTAGGTATCAATCTTTCAAATATGTTTCATTTTTAAATTGGTACATTTTAAAACAAACTAGAACTGAGCATATTTGGTATGACTGATTTAAATCCAATCAATTTGTTTGGATAAACTGTGCATTTAGGTTTTTCTGTCGGCAGAGCCTTCAGCCATAACTGCCAATGATAGGTCTTTTGTCGGTTTGTTTGATTTGTTTTTTAATCAACTGAGACTTTTAAAATAGCAAAATGACCAGCAGTAACCAGGCATGTGATCAGAAAGTTGAAAAACTATATTTGTTTATGTTTTATTACATTATGGCCATATTCCTGGGCTAAAGATCCTATTTGCTGCCAGTTATGTTATTTTCCAACTGAATTTATCACTCATAAACTTTTGTAGGAATTGATAATCCAGTATTTTCAGCTGATGATGATCAAAGTATCTACATGAAGTTCCCTCCATGGTTATCTGATGAAGATTCTGTAGTACCATCACAAAGGGCCCGAGTACAGTTACCGTATTCTCCAAACAACTTCAGACGACTCACCCCGTTTCGCCTCAGCAATAAATCTGTAGATTCCTTTTTGCTAGCAGATGGCCCAGAGGAGCGACCCAGAGCTTTCCTCCCAGAAACAACGCATATGTAATATTTTAAAATTGACCTTCATTTTTATTTTTAATCAGTCTCTCTGTCGGTTCTGGCCTCCTGACAGCTTTCCTTGTCTTTTTTTGTCTTTTTCAAGTATCTTTCTCTTCCTTGATTTTTCTGCATCTGAACATCTGCTATTCGGCTCCAGTTTGAAACTCGTACTTTTAAAGAAAGTTGGTTATCTTTATATGTTTAGGGCCAGATCCCTTGCTGGTGTAAATCATCACAGCTGTTTGGTCTACACCAGACCTTTGTCTGGGTTTCAACATTTCTTGTGCTATTTTAAAACCAAAAACATTTCACGCACTTGTAGGTTATGTACTATTTGTTTTTCCTGGTTTTATTCTGTTGTATGGCTTAATCAAACTATTTATATTGTGGGACCAATTCTGCCCATTGCTACAGGGATGAAACTCCCGCTGAAGTCACATCACATGAGACTGAATTCAGATTTAACCTAATATCTCCTAAAGTGATAAACTCTTGTCTTCAGTAACTTCAAGTGGGCCTCATCTTTGTTATGTGTTTGTACAGTGTCTAGCCTAATGAAGATGGAGCATTTAGCCACAACTAATAAATAATACTAATAGCCACAGCAATACATTACTTAAGATAAAGTTTAAAAATCAGGTACAGCTTGCTATAAACATTGCATTTACTTTGTATAGGTGGAGATGACTACATAAGGGGCAACACCTTGGGGAAGTTAGACCCCCCCCCATTTTTATTAGAGCACTGACATTCATTTCACCATAAGAATGGCCATACTGGGTCGTATCAATGGTCCACCTAGCCCAATATCCTCTCTTAGGACGGTGGTCAATGCCAAGTGTTTCAGAGGGAATGAACAGAACAGGCAATTATTGACTGAGCCATCCCCTGTTGTCCACTCCCAGCTTCTGGCAGTCAGAGGCTAGGGACACTCAGAGCATGGGGTTGCATCCCTGACCATCTTGGCTAATAGCCAGTGATGGACCAATTCTCCGTGAACTAACTTACTTGTTTTTTGAATCCAGTTATAGTTTTGGCTTTCACAACATCCCCTGGCAGTGAGTTCCACAGGTTGACTGTGCATTGTGTGAAGAATACATCCTTAGGGTTTTGAGTTGAGTTTTAAGTTGTGTATTTATAGAAAGCTTTACCTTATTTTTAAACTTTAAGTAATATTTTAATGTAGTTGCTCAAGACAGTAAGTTGTCACCTCTACAGGTTATCAGTTCAAATCTGAATTCAGCCACATGTGAAATGAATATTTTAGTTTCACTTTAATCCCCCAACACAAAATCAGCCCACAGTTTGAGACATTTCTATAACCAGCACAGTCATTGCTGTAAATGGGATGGCTTAGGTCACGATTCAGTCATTATAACACAAAACCTAGGCAATGCAGAGATTTAGCAACAAAACACAATAAACACGGGCATGGTCTATGGTGGAATAATTAAACACAAAGACAAGGCCTAGTGTCATCTCTGAACCAGCAACTGAATTATTTAGATAACTTGAGGGTGCTTCCAGCTGAGAAGGGGAGAACCATATTCGAATAAATGAGCCGGAAACACCCTCCTATTAATATTGTCCTAAAAAATGTATGTACGTATTTAGAGCCTGACTGGCATGTGCATTTACTCTAGCTTCATGCCTTTGGAAGAGATCGTTAGCCACCTGAGTTCAAAGGAAACACAGAACGCAAACTTTCCTCGGCTCTGAGCAGTGCAGAAACCTGACTGCAATGGAGTTTCGTCGTCATCTGAAATGGAGTAAAAAGAGAAAGTTACATTTCCCTTTTATCATGGCTCATATCTGATGAGCAGCAGTGATGCCTTTAGCTCGGTCCAGGTAGTGAAGTATGATGTGTCATCTTCACCAGTGGAGTGGAGTTCAGCTGTCTTTTGGTCTTACGTTTTGTTTAGCCAATTTGCAATTATAAGTCTTCTTATTATTTAAAAAAATAGCCATTTGGAGTTACTGCTAGATAAATGAAATAGTATTGGAACTACTGTGTGGATTAAACATATAAAAAACGCTATCCCAGACTTTAAACGTATCTCTGACACTCACATCACTTGTTCACATGGAAACTATCTGACACTTTCTTTTTCACTGGAAATATTTACATATATTGCACAATATTGACTTCTGTCTCTTATGACCTGCTAAACTTCTATTAACCTTTGTCCTTTATTCCATTCTATTGCCTTGATTGTTACTGAGTTTATAATTTAGAATAATACAATGGTATGTAATGGCTTCTTGTGCAGATAAATTTGTGGGGTATATTTACAGTCACTGCACTTTGACTGTGGTTTCCCTCAAGGTTGCAACTGGGAGTGAGTTTGCTGGATAAAAGTAACTTGTCACATGGGTTAAAACAAGTTTAAAAAAGAGTAAGGTCCAAGCAGCCTCAGCTTTATTGAAAAGACCTTACAATGATCCCTTTAAATGCATCTTATATGGTAAAACATTCCAGTGTAAAAATAGCATTGGAACCCAAATTATTTAGAATTCCGTAGCTGATCCTTACAATTCAATACTCAAGGCAACATTGCTTATAAAAAGAAATACATTTAAATGGCCACATGATGGCACTGTCCCCTAAGAATCTGGAACAGGCTGATGATGCACTTTACAAACACTGGGCTAAATTCTTTCTTGACTTCCACCCTGGGCAATTCCATTAGCTTCACTAAGGTTGTACAAGGTGGGAGTTGGGGGCAGAGTTTAACCCCCTGGCTCTGAGAACAGATTTAAGTTCCTAAAGAGACAATACCTTCAGCAAAATAGCAACAGCAAAGGGATGGATCTGAAATCAATATTTCAAATGAAAATCAAGCTTGTACAAGAAGTCAATATTTACATACTTCTGTGTTTAATTTTACCAATGTAGGTGACACGAGCCACAGTGCTGCAGTGACAGGATACTCTTTCTCAGATGAGAAACTGCTGCCTTGGAAACCTGACCAAGCAAAACAAAATGCCTCTGTTTCAGAGAAACCCCTCCACTTCATTCCATCTTGCCTTCAAAGGCCCTGGGCACAAAGCTGTTCTTCACTGGAAAACCGAGGAAATACAACTCTTTCTACTATCTCAGAGCACATGACTTCTTATGACCCAAACCTAACAGAAGTCTATTGGAAAGCAGTCTCAGATACGAATAACAAACCACCTGTCAATTCAGGATATTGTTCTGAAACTAGTTATGAGCCAGTGAATTCACAACAAGACAATTCTGTAGCTATGCAAGAGAGGCTAGAGGAATCTAACCCTAAGGAAAACCAAGAGAAGAAAACTTTGCTTAACGCACAAGCCCACTACAGATCTGCCGCAGCCAGGCGTGTACAAAGCCGACGCTCTTTTCATAGACCAAAACCTTTGCAACATCCCAAACTTCAAAAGTTAGCATCTCTTCCATCATCTTGTCACATCCCTCCACATTCTCTGGAACAAGAAGAAACACAGCTTTGAGCCTGGACTTACCTAACAGAAGACAAGTGTAGCGAAAATGGACAAAGTCTCTGGAAAAAGAGAGAGAGAGTGAGAGAAACTCAAAGCATTGAGACTTTTTCTAGTACCATTTAAAGAAAGAAAGAGAAAGAAACACTGGGGTCTACTTTTCTGCTGGACATACACTAGTAATTCCTCATTCACATTAAAGGGACTTATGTGGTTGAATCAAGTTGATAACGATGCTTCCATTTTTCATCTAAACTGTTACAAAGATAAATTCTGAGGGCTATAATGAGAATCTTTTCAAAAGGGAAACCGATGTTGGTTTTCAAATTAAAAATAGTTTTAATTATGCCATATATTTCCATAAAACATCATTAAGGCAATACATTGCATCTGTAACATTAATAATGCAGATCAATATTCATGCTGTGTGAAATTGCTATATATGAGGCCAATGGTTAAATCTCTTGCTTGCTAAATCTATTCCGGTTGAAATAGATTAGTGCCTCTTTATTAAATGTGAAAGCTGAAGAAGAAATATTATCCTACTGTTGAATTTTTGTATCATTGTGAAAAGCTAATTTAATTGTAGATTTTTTGATTCTCTATTGTAAATTCTTGGGGTGAAATCTTGGCCCCACTGAAGCGAATGGGAATTTTGCTGTGGATTTCAATGCGGCCAGGATTTCACCCTTGTTATCTGTTTTAAGTGGTGCTGGGAATTAAAGAATGTACAGAGATAGAATAGAATTATAATTTACATGGTCCTAAACATCTCATTTATATTCTTAATTAAGCTGCTCTTGTTCAAATAGCCTCAGTCCCACAAAAGTGAAGACATAGGTGATTTATCTGGCGACTTAGGTGTCTTCCAAATTATCTGTTAAGTCTTCCTATTTATACATAACCCTCTCTGGATATTTTTTGGGAACAGTGATTTTCCCCTATACTGTCATCTTCTGTGTCCTTTGACACATTGCATAGGTGCCATGATGACTCAGGATGTTGCTATTTTGTAAGTACTGTATACCGACATTTTGGCTATACTGTATATATATATTTGTAGATATTCGGAATTAGAGTTTTTATTTTCCATTTTTTTTGCTAAATGACGATCATTGAGATTCTACCAGATCTCCTCTCCTTACAAGCCTGATCCAACCCTCAGTGAAGCCAGGGAAAGTTGTATTAGTCCCTGTATGAAAATAAAGTACAAGTGAAAGGCTCTAAGGACTTTATATTTCTATGCAAGACTTGAACTAACCGTGCATGTCAGATGGCTCCAGGCTTAGTTTAGCAGCTTCATATACAATTTCTTCCTCTGTGGTGACATTATATTCAGTATAGCCCCAATCCCAAGACTGTGAGGCAGATCCTCAGGCGGTGTAAATAGTCATAGTCCCCATAGGTGCTTTTAAAAATCCTATTAGGCACCTATCTGCACCTTTAGGCCCCTACATTCTTTTAAAAATCTGGCCCTACATGCCTAATTAGCTCATAAAAAGGGGACTTACTCGCCTAAATCACTTAGGCACTTTTAAAAGTTTTAACCTTATAGCTAGAACTCAGATGTTACTTCAGATTCTATGGCCCAGATTTTCAAAAGTGGCTTCTAATTCTGGCTGCCTCCATGCTTGGGTGTCCAACTTTAGACACACTGGACACCCAAAAAATAAAACAAGTGGCAGCTTGCGGAAATGCTGGCCCTATACCTTTTTTCTGTCTGTGGCCTCTTAGCTGCTAGTGGTGATGCTCAGATACCATGAGAATGGACATTATGTAGAAAACTAGGTAGATAAATAACCTACTCCATAGGGACTGGATTCAAATTACCAGCTCATTGTACACAAACCATCTAGTAGTTCTGTTTTCTTTCAGTCCTCCTGTAGCCCAACATTGACCACCTAGCCAGCCATTCTTACTCTGAATGGGGAATATCATGTTGCTTGGAATAAAGTCCTTAGAAACCATAGCAGGTCTAGCACCTAGATGTATGATTTGATGTCAGTGTAATTTTTTGTGAACTGAGTAAATTATGATGTATTTTTATTATTGTTTTGGTGCAGGGAAAATATTTTGTAACCATCGTTCTGGGTATTATTAATAGGCGTGATTACTGGAATTTTACTCATCCCTGTGATGAGGCATGTGGATCCTTTTTGAACGCCACACTTAGACTGACCCATTATACAGCAGGAGAAACACTTTGGGCCACATTCTCCAATGCCTTGCACCTAGAAGAATCAATTACACCCACAAAATCTTATCCCCAGTTAACCAAGTGGCGAATTTTGATTTCATAGCATTTTATACCTATTGTGCCCAGGTGTAAGTGACTATACAAGATGCTAGGCAATGGAGAATCCGTTCTTTATTCTGAATGTTTTTGAGCCACATTCACCAATAGGCTCTGGCTGCTTAGCACTGCTCTGCTGATGCAAGAGCAACCTAACTGGCCAACTCAGCCAGCATGGTGGCTGTTTGCATCGCTGGAATGGCACAAAGCAGCCAAGGCATTCTGGTGAATCTGGCTCAATATTTTTAGGGTTTTTTTCATAGTCCCAGAAAGGCAGCAATTGTTCTGTCGTATCCCAGCATAATGCCTAAGAATGAACAACAGAATAAGTCAGATTCCATTTCCAGATGCTGGTTTTCTATGAAAAACATTCTTTTCCTATTACTTTTGTGCAAATTTCCTTGCTGTGTTGTAGCAGTAAGGAATGGAGCATCACACACTGACACTGTAAGGAGGCCTGGACTCTAAGCTACATTTTCAAAAGTGCTCACAAACTATCTGTACACATGCAAACGTCCGTGTATACCTGCAAACCCTGATTTGCCTGTTTGTGCTTATGCAAGGGTGGGGACTCTTGAATATGTAGTCTTATAAATTCATGGTGTCACATCCTGTTCTAGCAAATTGATATAGCACACAGGATGGGTAAACAAAACCATCTATACAAATACAACAGGAACTGGAAAAAATAGGAGTTTGTAAGCTTTGGTGTGTGTTGCAGGCTGTAGCCCCAATATCAGGGGTTCTCAACCTGAGGGTCAGGACCCCTCAGGGGGTCGTGAGGTTATTACATGGGGGGTCGTGAGCTGTCAGCCTCCACCCCAAGCCCTGCTTTGCCTCCAGCATTTATAATGGTGTTAAATATATTAAAAGGTGTTTTTAATTTATCTGGGGGGTCGCACTCAGAGGCTTGCTATGTGAAAGGGGTCACCAGTACAAAAGTTTGAGAACCACTGCCCAGTATAGTTTGCTGAGATATTAAAAAACAAACAAACAAATGTTAACAGAATTTTACCAACAGAAATCACAGAAAGACATTTATACAAAAAGCATCTAATTCTCCTTGTGTGTACTAATGAAGGTTTGCCAGCGTAGCTGTAGCTGTACAGGCAAACCCTCTTAGTGTAAGATACAGCTTATATCAGTTCCCTGAACAAAATAAGCTACAAAAACAGGGCCTTTTTTGCAGGTGTAACTGTCTGTCCACAGATCTTTTTCACATGTGTAATGGACATTGCAGTGCAGAAAAAACTTCAAGTGTAGACAAGGCCCTACTCTACTGTAACTTCATTGACTTTCATGGATTTACTCCTGATTTACACCAATATTGATGACAGGAGAAATAGGCCCAAAGAGTGTATGGTCTGCCTCATTTCAGCTCCATAACCTTTCTTGTGCACTTTTGAGTTGCAAAATATATCCATTTGGTGCAGATATTGAACAAGATCCTCAGCAGCTATCAATTGGTGTAGTGTCATTAACTTCAATGCAGCTACCCAAAGGTATACCAGCTGCAGATGTGGCTCTATTCATTACGAGTGGTATTTTCCTAGCTCTTTTCACTTTAATTTCATAATGTAACCTTCATGATTTAAGCAAATAGTTAAACCATAAAGTATAAATAATAGGTCTGATTCCTTGCACCTTGTCTAGTCAGTTTCATCTGAGAAAAATGAGTGTGAAATGCTACCAAGTCAGGATGGATTTTGTATGGTAATAGTGACTTCCCAAAGTGCAAAGCAGTGAAGAATCAGGCTGTAAGGACCAGCTTTTCAGCTGGTAAATCCGCATAGCTCTGTTGAGGCTAGTGGAGCTGCTGCTGGTCTACACCAGCTGATAATCCGGCCCTTCTGAATGTGTTCTCTCGTAGAAAGAAATATACTTTGTAGTCTGTGAGGAATTCCACGGACACTATTTATTGAGTGTGTATCTATGGCCTACTCTTTTGTACAAAGATCAAATCCATAAATATTTGAGATCTTTTCTACAAATTTCGCTCCAGAGAGGATTTTTTATGTTTATTATGCTGCACTATTAACCTACTAATGTTAAAAAAAAAAAAAAAAAAATAGGAAGAGTGTAGTCTGCATTAGGAGGTAGTTGGCCTCTCTGAGCGGTGAAGATACTTGTATGAAATGCTATTTTACAAATGTATGTGATCTAATCATTTTATGTAATACAAGTTGGAAAATGATGTGCCTTAAAATGTCATTCTCTGGACAGCTTCTGTTTGGAGATTTCGTGTGCACTTTCCAAACCGTGTTAGTTTCCTTCTTATATTTTTAAACAGTAAATTTGCTCAACTAAAATGCCTTTATAAAAATGTTTTAAAAGCACATTACGATGAGAACTTCGGCAATAAACTGTATGACTTTGGTTTAATCATGCTACAGTTGAAAAACTGGTTTATGTAGCAAGTCCATCTCTGATAAATCTTTACAAGAACACTCCAGCATTAAAAATAATTCACTGAAACACAGCTTCATTGTTCTGGCTATTTTAAAGCTTATACTTTGCATGCACTACTGGTGAGAAGAATGTGGCTACTGTTATGTAGGCAGGTATAATGTATCTGATTCTGCTTGAACCTCTTGATCAAATGCATGAGAATTAACTGAGTCACAGATCTAAAAATTGTCTATTCAGTTTGAGAAAGGCTGGGCATGTGAAAGCCACTTAAACTTGGGGACACTGTCTGCACTTTCCTAAAGGCTGTGCTGAGACTCTTTCTACACCTACTAGCCTCCTCTATGGTTTCTTTAAAATTAAAGTATGATAAAGTGATCATTAATTTCTATCCCCAATCCGAAATATTTTACAACTGTGAAATGGGGAAAACTGACTAGGCAATAGTACTGTAGAAAAGGACTTGGAGTCATAGTGGATAAGAAAGAGAATGTGAGTCAACAATGTGATGCAGTTGCAAAAAAAAGCTAACACTCTGGCCTGTATTAGCAGGAATGTCATATGTAAAACACAGGAGGAAATTGTTCTGCTCTAAGTTAGCACTGGTAAGGCCTCAGCTGGAGTACTGTGTCCAGTTCTGGGCGCCACACTTGCTGAAAAATGTGAACAAATTGGAGGGAGTCCAGAGGAGAACAACTAAAATGATAAAAGATTTAGAAATCCTGACTTATCTGGAAAGGTTAAAAAAAACTGGGTATATTGTCTTGAGAAAAGAGGACTGACAACGGTCTTCCAATGTGTTAAGGGCTATTATAAAGAGGGTGATGATCAATTGTTCTCCATGTCTACTGAAGGTAGAGCAAGAAGCAATGGGTTTAATCTGCAGCAAGGGAGATTGAGATTAGCTATTAGGAAAAACTGTCTATTATCAGGGTAGTTAAGCTCTGGAATAGGCTTCCAAGGGAGGTTGTGGAATCTCCATCATTGGTAGTTTCTAAGAACATGTGCGATAAATACCTGTCAGGGATGGTCTAGGTTTACTTGGTCCTGCCTCAGCACTGGGGGCTGGACTAGGTGACCTGCCAATGTCCCTTGCAGCCCTACATGTCTATGATTCTAAGTGACAACACTGTGCTACTTATCAAAGATATCATTTATAAAAACCAGGGCTTGTCAATTAATCACAGTGAACGCCTGCGATTAACTGAAAACAAAATTACCACTTTTTTTTTTAATGTGTTAATTGCATACCTCTGGGTGGGGAGGAAGTCATCGGT